CAGGCCGCCGTACCACCGCCGCTGTTTTGGTCCGAGGAATGTGTGCGATCTGATCTTCCACGCAGGCCAATCTGACTGGGCACCCCATGTGACGCTGACGTAGGGTATTACACCATACTATTTTTAGCAAGTGACGTCTGACCACGTGACTGGAACCGACCAATAGCTGTTTGGGATGACGTTGCATCAGATGATGTAATGCTGTCACGTGACCTGGGCACAGAGGCAACCCCGCAACCGCGGCAGTTTACTTGTGTTTACCTAACCTCTTTGTGTCTGCCGCTGAACAAAGAAAACGTCATAGGAAGTGCAAATACCTTTTGTATGCATTGCCCCCAGGTATAGAGGTGTGTCTGAAATGAATACGATCAACAGTTGTTGTTTGTTATAAGGTTTATAAAAAATATGACAATAAGTTTGTAATGAAACTGTTAAAATATATCAGTTTGTTGGTTAACAAAATTGAACATGTGTCAGTGTTGACTATGTTGTTATTTTTCTTTTCATTGGCAGAATAACTGCACTCACCATAGCAGGTCACGGCACGCAGGTACACAAATGAGATCACGTGATAGGCAGAGAAAGTGCTAGAACCGATACAAAACACCTGATCTTGCAGAGGTTAAAAATGGGCAAGTCTTTCAGTTTGTAAAACTGGACAGATGACCTGGAAAGTATACCTCGAATGTCAGAGACTGCATGAAAGTAGTTGGTCTCCTCTTGAAGCACACACGAGTTTTGGCAAGTCTTTTACAACGCATGATAAAAATTACAAAAAATTCCACCTTTTGCCCATCTTAGCTAAGATTGTGCATATCGTATAATCTCCAAGCAGATCTTTTGGTGGGGGTAAGACAGTATCAAATTGGCCAGTCTGTATCCATTTCCCCACCCAAGATCTGCCGGCACTCGAACAGGGTGGGGAAATAGATACAGACTGGCCAATTTGATACTGTCTTACCCCCACCAAAAGATCCGCTTGGAGATTACATATCGTATTACAAACGTAGTGAATGTAAAATAGATAACACATATGTAGTTTGCAAAAGGACCCAATTGATTGGTTGATTGATACGACTCGAGCGTTTTTCTAGCTATGGTGAAGGACATTGTATACTCTATATAATGTCCTTGCTTTGATGCTGGCATTTCACATCTCTAGAGATCTTGTTGACTTTGCGTAGGCAACTCCATGGAGCCCTGACCCTCTGCCATCTGTCGTTACACGGTAACAACACTGTTATCTGCATGATCCTGCATCCGCTAGTTGTAACCGGATATTGTTTGATATTATGTCAAACAGCATTACTACTGATCAAATGAAGTAACTGCAGATAATCTCAAATCCCATCTGTAATACAGCCTATCCACGGACCTTTGTGTGAACGGTAGAAATGCACGGCTGAAGGAACCGAATTTATCAGACTAAAAACATAAATTGAAAAGGTAACATATCTAGCCATGGGCATCTATCCAATACTAGTACTACGGTACTCAATAACACAACAGGTGACGTCCCTGGTGTATTTAAGGACCTGAGCCATCTCTTGAAGAACCTACAGGTCGTTGACACCGGATGGATACGTCACAATGAGCTCCTGACGTGTCATTAATCCACCGTTCTTTCTATGACTATTTACTTGTGTATTGTATCCCTATAAGTTTAACGATGATGTTTTTATATTAAAAAGTATATCATAGGTTGTCTTTTACAACATAACATGTTACTGTGTATAAAGGTTATTAGCATTGGTGCACGAACTCGGGCTAAATCAGGTCATTCTAAAATCAACAAACACACGGGGTGTGTCAACACGGCGTCTGGTGTGACGTGAGCGTTATTATAGGCAGCTTACGTTACGTCCGACCGGTGGTCACAAGACGCCCATGTCAGGTTTTATCTTGGGTATGAGCAAATTAAATATCTTGGTTGTCGGGACGAGGTACTATCATAGTTGGAAATATTAGGTAGACAAGACATGCAAGCATGGAATTAGGTAGAGCAGGGAAACGGTGTACCCATTTGAAATCTGTGGACTAGCAAAACTGATAAAAATGGGAAAACTATTGTTTTAAGCTACAAGTTTCTTCAGTTTGATTTTGTACATTGGCAATGACTGTCATTGGTTCATCATAATTCCGTTTCTATAATAACACAAGTTCAAATTTCCCGGGCAACGTCCATGATTATACGACGGTGGAGGGAGTAAAGAAGATAATCCCCTAGTGCCTGTTAGAAGGCAAAATCATAATGTTTCTAGCTAGAAAAATGCTACTTTTTCCTTTTCAACGTCTACTTGGAGATTATTAGTATTCTGGATTCAGGGATTCCATGCAATACTGACAACCTCCGTAGGCGGTGACGTGGTTTAGCCATGGATGTAATTTTTACCTCCATGGTGTAGCTAACTAAATATGGGTCAGACATCATCATCCGGCCTGAGAGACCAACAATTAATGTTGTCGCGTGTCTTGCGCTCCAATTCTTCTTTATGATTTGGAAATTTCTACTATTTTCCAGACAACACTGGCGTCGCATACATTTTTATGCTGCACTGCCTGCAAACATGGGCACCTGACTATGCCTGATGTTATCGCATTCTAGCTGGCGCGGTGGTGGACATTGTTCTTGATGCGACTCCCTCAATGATACAAGATGTGTAGTTATGTATGCTAGGTCTCGCAGTGACTCATAGTGATTCAGCATAAATAAATACCAAACCGTCGAAGCTACCAACTTGTTGAATAAGTGATTTACCCAGGGGAAAACCGGTTGAACATGACACAGCTTACATCACCATGACCTCATCACAACAGTCTTGCCATAACAGCATCTCCCAGCGACGTCTAGCGATTATGAAAAGAATCGCGGGCAAGGCCAGCTTATTAGTACTACATATGTGTAATGTGCACAACTGAGTGTTGATGCTGTGCAGTTTTCAACATCACTAAAAACCAGAAAGTGATCAGAGGCTTGGAAATCTTTAACATAACGGTCATGCGAAGTGGTTAGAAAGCATCATGGACATGAATACAATAGTGTACCCCCCTCTTCCCCCAACATACACACATAATCCTTCCTCCTACTTGTGGTTCAATCATATGTCCATATGCGTTACATTGATGCTTTCGATATTCAACCATAGTATGGCAAACTCCTAAGAATTTTCAGCATGGGAAAAGGAAAGCCGAAAGAAATTGTGATAAATGTGATGACGAGAATTAATTTTTGATATATGAAGCCGTGGACCATAATTTGATGTTTACATTCTTGCACCAATTTTGGTATCTAATTGGCTCAAAGCAAGTCATTATCTCAGTAATTGCTGCCCGACTGTAAAATTTGGTTAGGTGGGAAATGTTTCCACATTAAGAGATGAGAGGTGACATCATTACGTGATGTCAGCCCCGGCAATAAGCGTATTAACAACCGCAACGCTCGCAACGACTCCGTCGTTGATGGAAATGTCGATAATGATTGATGTGGGTCATGGACAACCCTCCATCTCTCGGACACAATATTGGTAATCAGATGGCACACTTACTATCAGCGGGTCAACTACACCTGGTAGGGGTTTACACGGTGTGCTGAATGGTCAGACATGAAATAAAATTACCAATCTGAATTCATAGAAATTAATACCTAGTTATTCAACTGGTTGATCGGAAGGTGGGGACTGATACCTTTTGTTCAAAGCGAACACGACTTGGAGGGATGAGTGGATAACAGGAGAGGGGTTGGGAGCTCATTACAACTTTTCGAACAAATTAAAAGCAATCACGCTTGTTTCTATGAACAATGGTTCTGGTCACGACATTCAGCTCATGCCATATGCTGACGTCATGTCTTGCTGAGACCTTGGAGGCTTTCCTGCATTCTCAGGGGAACTTGGGAGTCGATAGAAACTTTATTATGTAGTATGACATCAACCTCTGCCTCCCGTGTAAGCAGTACATGGCTGCATTTTCATCAGCCAGTACGACTACAACAAAGTTTAAGGCCGACTTTAGACTGACGACGGTATACGATCGCACGACAATCGTTGTGGGCGACGGCTGGCTTTAAGTACCGCTGGCTTTAAGTAGCACTGCGCTCAAGTTTACCTTCTTTGCAATGGTACACAGGTGTTCATTTGCTCCTGGAATCTACAAGATATCCAAAAACACTGTAGGCCACAAAGACTATCCGGCCACAATCCTGAATATTTTCTGGTTAATAAAAATCCTGTCTTTGTCGGCAACATTTAGATAATCTTTGAAATTCACGCTAACTGCTTCGCCATACATCTTTATTCTCAGTTATAGTATTCATAGTTGTAACAGCGTACGCATCTCGTAATGACTATTCATGATCATTCAACGACTTGTGGCTACATGTCATGCTGCTGTACTCGTACCGCCGGTAGTGGCGAAACTTCACGTGACCAATAAAAGTGTTTTAGGAATTATCTACTTCACACGGTGCGTTTGTAATCATCTTTCATGCCTGTTATATATATAAAACTTTCAAAGACATCTCCCCTGGGATGTCCGGATGACACCCAAAGCCAAACTACCCTTCCTCACTCAGTAACAACATGACTGACTTGCACGGACCAATGGACGGTCTGAAGTCGAGACGGTGACGTAATCGCCTGCCTTCAATCACTCTTGAAAGCCCGGTACTACAAGTCTCCGCTTCACTGTAGGTAGAAGGGAGGAAGTTTATTGAACCTCCCTACTGCTGAAGGTACAAAACGTAATGAGTCATTGCAGCGATGATGTGTGCAGATGGCATATTCCTCGACAACTATCGTTATAAGATAAGCTTATCTTGTGCGACGTGACATTTGACAAGATACTATCACACTGCCCACACTATGATCTTCCCTAGCCCCCATTGTTAAGGTTCAGGAAGGGTGATTCAGAGGCTCCGTTCTGAACTCAAGCCACACTAACCCATTTCGATTATGAACCACTGTTATTCAACGGGTTCTTTTACTAAATTTTTTCACATTCCAGATCCCCTTTGATGCCTTTGATCATGATCTCCTCCCACCCCCACCCGGGCGCCGTAGGCGTTCATCCCACCCCACTGCACACTCTGGCTGCATAAGGGAAATTACAAAATTCCACAGCAATGTTGACTACTCTCCCATTACCAAGGCCATCAAAGGTAATCATACAACTACTGATGTGCAGCTCAAGAAGTTTGTCCTGGGTGCAGATACTTGATTTCTTGACTACTTTGTTATACATAATGCATGTAGCAGGTTGTCAAATGTCCATATCCCCCTTCCCCAGCTTAAACTAAGAAAAGCAGAAAAACAAGTTTGAGGTTCATAGTCCACTTTTTATTTTATCAAAATATAACACTCTGCAGAGACAAAATGCCTGAATAAATAACTCAAGTCCTTTAGCAAGAGAGCTGTCCAATGAACATGCATCTCCATGTTAACATGCTAGATGACATCATATTTTGGTATAAATATCAATGGCAGTACTGTCATACATAATTAAATAAGTTAAGGTATTTCTTGAAAATAAATAATCTGTTTTGCATAATAAGAAGTCAATATATCAAATTCCTCCACTTCATCATAAAAGCAATAAATAGCTATTTGGTATGTATGAGTCATACCACATATACATATACTGACTGCTCATTGTGGAGCATAAAAACAATGCCAGGCAATAAAAGTCCTGAATCACACTTTGTTTTTGGTTCACTTATGATTCATCATTAAAGAAGCCCAAAAATTTCCATGTATGGTATTGCACCAAACCCCAAAAGGAGAAAGTGACTCGCCAACTGAAAGTAGGGCATGAGGCAAGTCCCTTTGACATTTAACAATGGCTATGGTTAATCCACTTGGCTGTGGACTAGGGAGCCATCTCTGAGTCACCACAGTACAATGTCCCCTCCCTGCTGCCCTGCAGTCCAGCCCTGCACCCTGAGAAGTTCCATGTTACCGGCACACTCCTTCCCTCTGCACACCCTGGCAGTGTCTGCAGAATTGCTACCATATGCTCTATACAACTCTACTTTCTTGGCCATGCCTGTTGGCCCTCCAATTTTCATTTTATATCTCAAATCCTCTTACAAAATCCTTATAAAAGCAAACAGTAGGTCTTTGTAATACAATAGGATTACTAGTGTCTTTAAGCCCTGGATGATCACAAGGAAATCCACCTGGGCGAGGTAGCCTCAGGCGTGCTGTCACTGGCAGAACCTGAGCTGGAGCGCTGCACCTGCTGAGCACAGGCCTGTCCCGAGGTGGGGAAGGGAAGGTCCAACGTCTCCGTGACATGGGGATAGTTGAAGAGGGAGGTTGTCATGGAGGAGGGCGTTGTTGCCATGGTGAATGGGTTGGGCTCAGCAAACACTCCGTCCATGTTTGGGATGGTAGGCGTGGTCAGAGTTGCTGACGTGGTGAAGGTGTCAAAGTCACTGGAAGCCGTCACAATGGTGGGCGTGTCCAGGGACGACATGAAGGACTCCAGAGTGGTGGTGAGGTTGGGCGTGGTGAGAGTGGGCGTGGTCAGGGCGCAGGTGGTGATGCTGGGTGTGTTGAGACTGGGGGAGGTGGTGATGGCAGTCAGCGGCAGGGTCAGGTTAGCGGGTTTGGGGGAGGTGGACTTGCGACCAGGGCTGCTGGAGGGGGTGATGGTGCTGTCTGAGTCCGAGTCTGTGCGTAGCTTCTTGCAGGCAGGCTTGTGTGCCTGGAGGATGAACTGTAACTGTTCCTTCTGAGCCTGCAGACTGGCGATCTCTGCCTCCAGCCCAGCCTTCTCCTCCTCCAGGTCTTCAGTTTGTGCAATCAGTTCTTCAGTAAGGTCACGGCGGCGGTTGCGGCACTTTGCTGCAGCCAGCTTGTTCCGCTCACGGCGTACACGGCGCTTCTCACGCTCATCATATGGCAGCTATGAAATAAGGAACAAACAATTTAGTGACATATTCTCAGTTGAATGGTGATTCTGCATGCTAACCTGTACATCCTGGAGAACTTTTATTTCCATCATTGACAATCAAGTAAAGCTACGCTTTTCTACCTGTCTTAAGATTGGTTTTAATTAAATCCCAGGAAATTCTTGAAGTGCCATCAGGTATTGACACAATAAGCTGGGACTTCCTGTACCAGGCAGTTTGTCTGTTGTGATAAGTACAATTACACCTCCCTGTGGTTCCCTGAGCTGGCCTGGCACAGGAAGTGGTGGGTGGGGAGGGGGGTGCCTGTCCTCAATGGGGGTCAAATCAACTATTCAATTGAAATGCCCCACATCAACAGGAAGTCGTTTTAAACACACAGGAAATGGAATTTGGGTGAATGACCTTACAAGAGGTTATTGACACAATGGTAGCATATGGTTTTGAATGGATGATTGGAAATTTCATGGAAGTTTCAAACTTTCAAGCTCTCTTCAGGGACTACATTTGGACTGTTCTATTGACCACTTGAGAATGTATAGGTCTAGTTGTCATTTTTTTTCCAAATGTTGTATTAGAGACCTGGGCTTGCTACTCTATGCCTTCAAGTATGACATATACATATAGTCTCTGGTAGTGATGCAGGATAAAGTAAAGTACTGAACCCACCTCGTGATCTGGGATGCGTCTCCGGCGGCGTGCTGCGGCTTCCAGCAACACTTTGATTTCTGGGTTGTTTGCCACGTTGACTGCATTGGTGAAAGCTGCAGGAGTGGCAGAGTTGGAGATGGCATTGGAGGTGGTGACCATCCACTGCATGTTTGGGTCTGATGCGGCGTTGGCCAGTGTGTTCAGGTTGGATGTAAACTCGTTCCCAGATCCAGCAAAGTCCTGTTGAAATGAGAGGAAAGGTTGTTAGCCTTGCTTATATATGTGTGTACTCACACCTACATACTGTTGTCTATGACATATCCTGTCTCAAGTATCCCTTGCCTGGGAAAGGCCCCTCCCCTTCCTTTACATCATAACAGTAACATTATACATGTGCTACCTTTCTTGTAGGTGAAAGTTCTAGTAGTTTGCTGCTGATAACATTACATGTCTATTTGTTCCAATCCAAACATAACTCAAGCCTGTCATTAGTTTAAACGTTGTGTGTCTTTATAATTTTCCTCCGTTTCGTCATATTCCTGTTCCCGAATTTAAAAAAAAATATTCCGTAATGTCATGATTGCGTCACGTCCCTTCCTATTGCTCAAGCCTCCAAACTTCCTAACGGTACATACGTCACGTAAACTGAAATGTGTTCCCATGTCAACAGTATCATGACGTTTATTCATTGAAATTATGAGTTCCTTTATACAAAAATACTTTGTGGGGCATACCGGTGTTGTGACGTTTTTTTCCTATTTTAATTTCTGGCGAGATCGTTGGAGCATGCCGCACGTGTACTATTTACAGTTTTCCCAGTTACGCAATCATTTTGTCAGGGGAGGGGGGCGCCTCGCTCGTGGCGCAGCATATAAAATAACGTTATAACGTTAACAAGTTACCGTAATACGAATTTCATCACGATCATCGCCAGAAGAGTTTTTTTTCTTCTTGAGAACCTTCCGTAACACAGCTAATAAGTTTCAAATCACAACATTTTGGAGAAGCAAGAATATTCTACGAGGGAATAAACTATGGACATGATCGTAACGTACAAACAAATGTGTTACGCTATCTACCCGAGGCGAATTGTAGTGTTACGGATAGCGCCAAATACATCGTGTGGGTTGCCATCGGATAAAAAATGTTGTGTCAGATTTTTGCTGACACATACGGTACCAGGCTGGGCGTGTCACGGACACGGGAGAAACAAGCGAACGTACCTGGCTTGCTGTAGTAGCCATGGACGAACAGCTATCGTCGGACATGATAGACGCGGGACTGCAGTGGCCCGACCCGTCCAGCTCTCCGATCAGCTTGCCGTACATTTCCGAGAAAGTCTGGGTAACCGTCGTGTCCAGAGAACTTCCGTACACTGTGGGGTCAAGTAGGCGGTACCAAGCTTCCGGTGTCTTGTGGTTTTACCGTGGGTTGGTGGACAGTGTGTTCTCCGTGAGTCACTCGTTTGAAATGAGGAGTGGGGAAGCCCTGCATATAAGTTATACAGCGAGTACTCCATGACGTCACTGACGTCATGGTTTAAAAATAGCCAGGCCCAAATAAGGCCTGGAGGTCCTGTGATTGGTCACGTGTGATGACGTACACAGAATGTTCTGGATTACCAAGACTGAATCACGCCGCGCGGTCGATATGCGGCTGCTGTGGCGGCAAACCTCAACGCTCCTCATTTTGATAATTTATATTGTTGTTTTGATGACTCAGAACCTCCAAAGAAGGTAGTAATTTACTATTCAGACTTACAACTTGTCCCCATGCATGTCCTCACATCCAGACCGATTTTGGATCAAATAATCAATTCTCCCAAGTGTTGTTTTAGCTCTGACGTCAATCACCATGGGACTGACGTGTGTGTTTACAGTTTATTTGCTGCTACCTTGGCGGCGGCCGTGGTTTGTATTGTTCTGAGTACCCTCAGGCACAAATAGCTACGTGTGGTTTTCATTACGTAAAAACGTAGATACAATTGTTCTATACGTTATTTGGGTGGGGTGGGGTGGAGAAACACTCCCAAATAAGCAATTGTCGAATCATGACCATATATGTACATAACTGATCGGGCATCCTTGCGCGCGAAAATTCCAACGAGATTCCTATAGCCAATGGCGGGAGATATTCAAAGCACTGTAATAAATATTTAATCTTATTAATTTCGAGCACCGCTTCTTGGAAACCGGGGCCGAGCCGGGGCCACATGTCCTGGTGACGCGCTGTGGTCCTGATGAATTTTGCAGGAGGCTTCCCGGAAGCCGGGGCTGTGACTGGCCATCATAATTCCTTATCGGGTAAAAGAGGAGGCGTTCGGAGGCTGATAGCCCGGTACCCTTCATAACTCATTTACCTGCCACATTTATTCTCGATTCTGCAATCAAGGTAGGGATACTGGGTCCTAGGATAATATGGGTTACCGGTTTAGCGATATTGGGGTCAGAAAGAGTCTAACACTAGTAACGTTAACAGTGAAAAGTGTAACTGAGAAAGTGTAAGTTACATTTCGAGCCGCGGACTAAATCTCGAAGGGTTATATATCCAAAGGGAAAGTCTTCATCATACTACTATTTTTAAATACTATTTTTAATGCTCTAACTACTACTAAAAATCTCGTACATTTATGAGGAATTGTGGTTGTATTAATTCTTTTCGTGGCTCATTTGTTCTTCCTAGCCTGGGTTTCTGTAACGTTATGCAGTATATTATATATTTATATTTATATCATACCCGGGCCGCGATATATATATATATATATAACGTTATAGGGTCTTGAATGCGAGAAATTGGATTGACGATAACTAACGTACGGTACGTAAGTAATAGGCTAGCCTGGGTTCCAAACCCAATCACACTGGACAGAAAGTATCTCAGTGAGCTGAGATACTTTGTGTCCAGTGTTATTGGGTTTGGGACCCAGGCTAGTAATAGGCTTGAGCCGTGTCAAACTCAAAGTTTAATTAATAGCTTAGATCTACAACAGTTTCTTTATCTGCAGGCCACCTGGTCCAAAAGTGTGCCTGGTTGGGAATATTGCTACTCTGGCAGAGCTTGGCATGGACAATGTATTTGAGCTTGTTTGAACCGAAAGCTTGGTAGAGGTTCAAAGGTCTGACTGAATGATAAAAGAACAAAGTTTGCACAGTGACGTATACACCGGGGTATTACAAGGTTTGCAAAACTGCCATCGATTTTGAGTCTTATATAATCATTTGCATTATTTAACCCAATTGGCCTAGTCTCTACCCAACTGTCTTACAAATTGTAATTCTATGACCGGCTATCTCTCTATCAGCCTATATTTCTGGCAATCGATAGAGAGACTAACAAGTCTGTAAGATATGGCTAAGATGTTTATTCACGGTCAACAATTATGTCCGGCCTCTAGCCTACCCTAATGAAACTCCTGCCGACGATCATCGTTTGTGACAAAAAAAAAAAAAAAAAAAACGATAATAGTGATAGAAATACCGTCGTCTGGCAACCCACCTGCTGCATCTGCTTGGAGATCATACTTACTGTTACTACTTGTTATTCTTCGTCTGTTTATTCTACTAGTATATCATGCCGTGGCAGTATTCATAACACGCACTGAATTTAGCCACAGGTCATTGGCATTTGCCAACTGTAGCTGGGAATTTTATTTACTTTACACCGTTTTATACCCATGCTGCTTCCATTTATTAATGATCCTCGCCGATTGTAGATTTTGAGATCAATTAACTTAATGCCCCATAGGAACAAGCTAAAATCTTCGTGCAGCTTTCGCAAACATACCTTGGACCAAAGTTACTAATGGAACAGGGGATCTTCCATGTCCTCCTTAGCGAGGATCACGTGATTAATCGGTCCACTCCATCAACCTCTCCCAACCGATCGGAACTGCCGTCTGGATACGTGGTGGTAGTGACCATCTGCGACTGCGTAGACCGCGTCACACCTTGACGATGGGTGGGGTTCCGGGACACCAGGATGTCCACTTCCGTACAAACATCGACAGGGTTCCCTAAAACAAAACAGAAGGTTTTGATGTATATATGTATCAGGGCGAATATCCTCGCCTATCCTTAAGAGTACCTGGTAGGCACGTGTTTGTGTGTTGAGGAGGGCGGATATGTACTACGAAAAGGAAAACACATACTCTCCAAGCAGAGGTTTGGGGTTATTTTTAGCGTGTTTTTAGTTTTTTTTTTATCGGGGTTTACACTTGATTTTTTAACCACCAAACCCAACTGGAACAAGACTGGCAATGAAAACATACATTGCCATGGCGACGGTGGTTGCTGTTAGGGTTATTGTTTGCATGGCACTGCCATCATTTCATGATTTTTTTCTAGACAGATACAGTACACTCCTCCCCTGAGTGCATAGTGAACGAGCCCCGGGGTCACAGAAAGTATGACCATCTGGGGCAGGCAGGTCTTCAGGGTTCCAGGAATGCGGGCATAGATGTGGGTCACAGAAATGCCTGTGGACATTCCGCATGCCTGTGGACATTCCGCTTGCCTGTGGACAAAAATGCCTATACAATTCCTAGAATTCTTATTTTATCTATTTAGAAATAGTAGCAATGTCGCCTGTAGAGCAGAATTAGGTAGATGCTTGGTCCAAATGGGCACAACCTCACACTCCCTTCAAATGGATGCTCTCCTCTTACAGCAAAGCCTTCCAACAAATACCCGTAGACTAACTTTACTGCAACGTGTTAAACTTAAAGACATACCGGTATTAGATCACAATGGATACTCCTCTTTGTGGCATTCCGAATCAACATTGTGACCCTGAACATGTTGGGGGAAATGCTGAGAAAGACTCTGACTTACAGATATACACATGTCTTCTTCAGTTTACAAGTCTTTACAAGAGAGAAGTCAAACCCTTCAGACATAGTTTTAGACATAGCTATAATTTTAGACAAATACCTTTCATTTGTAGATTTTAGTTATTTTATATACTGCTCTTCTTTTATGCTTGTAACTGGCAATTAGCCTCCGGGGCCGGGGCATGAACAGGAATATGAATCAGCATGTGTCTGCTCAGTTGTGAATGATCTGTTCAATTTCCACAATGTCGCAAGGGTTTCCTGGAATTTCACTTCGTAGGAAAGTGGTCCAGAATGTAGGACATACACTTGAAAGGCATGTGGGGAATCCTGGAATGTGGACCAGAATGTCAGAATGTAGGACATTTGAAAGGCATGTGGAGAATTCCTGGAATGTGGACCAGAATGTCAGAATGTAGGACATACACTTGAAAGGCATGTGGGAAAGGAATGTGGGTATGGTTGTAGGTATGTGAGGAAAGCAGACTGATTGTCGGCTGAAAAGAGAGATCACTTTGGCTTGGTTTGAGGCAGTCATCACAGGGAGGTACAGATTTGCGGCCTGAGTTCAGAGATTATAAGCCTGGTAACCAGTCTCAGCGGGTCAGCTTAGAGGTGTTTTCCGATCCCATCAGGGAAACACGGCGGTCTGTTTCGCCACTACAAGGGCTAGTTTTCAGTTCTGTGTGGTTGTCCAAATGGGGACCTTCCACGTGCTTCTTACGGCCTGGCAATCCTTAGAATGGTAATACAACATCCAATGTATTTATGAATAAAAAGAGCCATATAGGACACCTGTGTCGATCGTAAAAAGTAAAATCTTCCTCTGTTGTTGGAACTGTGATAGATTTGTGTGATTTTTAATTTTAGGTGAAACGTAAGTCTGTTATAAAGGACTATTAAATGTACAGGAAATAATCTGCCATTGAGAATGATTACCCGGGGAATAATTGTCCTATAACAAAATTGATCTAGTCGAAGGATTTGGTTATGCTTACCTAACGTTAACAACCTATTAAGTTGAACGTCAATATCTGATGTCCACAAGAAATATTATATTAAACTACATATGAGACCTCACCTATCGAAAATGTACACAACCAATTCTGTAAAAATGTTCTTGGTGTATTTAGAAATAGTAAGCAATGTCGCCTGTAGAGCAGAATTAGGTAGACTTCCTTTAGATACAGATATTTGTATATAGATATACTAGTAGTTAAATTCTGGTTATGCTTGGTCCAAATGGACACAACCTCACACTCCCTTCAAACGGATGCTCTCTCTTACAGCAAAGCCTACAAATACCCGTAGACAAACTTTATTGCAACGTGTTAAAGACATACCGGTATTAGATCATAATGGATACTCCTCTTTGTGGCATTCTGATAACTCACATTGTGACCCTGAACATGTTGGGAAAATGCTGAGAAGGAGACTTACAGATATAACGTTACACATGTCTTCTACAGTTATAAAAGAGAAGTCAAACCCTTCAGACATAGTTTTAGACTTAGACGTAGCTATAATTTAGACAACCTTTCATTATGTGGATTTTAGTTATTTTATATACTGTTCTTCAATGTTCTTTTATATTTGTAACTGGCAATTAACCTCCGGGCATGAATTTGCAATAAACTTCTCAATTATTATAGAGAGAAAGATATAGTACCTGTTCAAATGCAGCAGAGTTGAAGACTGTCGATGATACGTAGGGGAAGATGTTCTACACTAATTCAGAAAACTCACTTACTGCTTACATCATTAACATCATGGGAGCTATAGCTATATGAGCTAGATAATGTTGCATGGGAGTGGACAGGGATGTAAATCAGCATGTGTCTGCTCAGTTGTGAATCTGTACAATTTCCACAATGTCCCAAGGGTTTCTTGGAAATTCACTACATAGGAATGTGGGCATAGATGTGTGTCAGCAAAATCCCAGACATGCCTGTAGACATTCCATTCCTGTGGAAAAAAATGCCTGTGCAATTCCTAGAATTCTTGCAAACTGCACACAATACTGTACCATTAGGCTCCCCCCTGAGGCGTCGCCAAAAATATCCAGTGCAAAAGAGAAACCCCAATAAAAAAGCCTAAAAACACGCTAAAAATTAAAAATAACCCCAAACCTCTGCTTGGTGGGTTTGGTAGGAAAAAAAATCCAGTGCAAAAGAGAAACCCCTATTAAAAAAGCCTAAAAACGCGCTAAAAGTAACCCCAAACCTCTGCTTGGAGAATAGAAAACACACCCATTTGAACAATGATGTCTCTGTGAAGCAGTCCAGGGTCGTTCAAATGAATGAATTGAACCGATGGAGAACCGTCGCTGGCGACACATCGATATAACCTGGAATTTGTCACAGAGCCATTGCCTTATATTTGACTTGTTGAATATTCAGTACTGTATATCATTTAATTTAATTACAGTAATTGTAATACTTACTTCGGCAGCTTTCTTTCTGTAAACGTGTGTAGTCGTGCATGGGGGCGGGTATTTGACTTTTGTTAAAAATTGTATGAATCAATTGAATGTTTCAAATTCCCAAGGACACAAAGTATCAAGTATCTCGGAGATACTAAATTTTTCACCAGTAGCTCCCGTGACTGTCTGTCTCCATGTTTTATCACCGTGGTCCGGCAGGAGGAGCCGGTAATATAACGGTAGCACGCCGCTCTTGATTACGCAATATCCCATTGCAAGAAGCATTTACTATACTGACAATTTGTTTGTATTTTCTTCAACTCTTCTCTCGATCGTACTTTGCTTAGAAACCGATCAAACACATCAGGTCATATAAGTTACTTACCCACTAACGTTTCCAAAGTCTTTGTTAGGCAATATGTAATCGTCTTTTATGAATGAAAATTGTTTCAATAAAGGTATTAATTGATTTACATGTATTTATTAATTCGTAAATTCTTCACTCTATTCTTTCAATAGAAGCTATCATATGTCTTTTTCATAATGTACGTAGTCTTGACATCTCAAATACCAAATGGAAAATGATAGTTACCTATTACGGTTCTTCAAAAAATTTCGAAGAGAAAAGATCGAGGAGTCCAACGTATGGCGGAAACCTGTGCACCTGTTTGTAACCTATCACTTGGCCCTTTGAAAGTGTTTGTACGCTGTGTCGCCATTGCCTTGTCACATACTTGAGGCGGAGTGTTTGTGTTCACCGCATGATAAGGCCACACCAAGTCAATTTTGTGGATGACGTCCGCGCGCGCATTGATTTTGGCCTGTTCCTAGAAAAAACCCCAGAAATTCCGCTTATTAGGATCCTGTAACCAAAGAGTCACGACAGTGCCGCAAATAGGTTTGCACGGACCAAAGCTTATGAAGCATCAAGCAAGACTTCCATTAGGAATTCAGTTTGGTACATGATGCCACATTTGAAGAAACTTGCTGACCGCTCCATCTATCTCCCCAAAGCACAGGACGACAACTGCTGTTCTACCTGATTTATTGCTGTTTTGATGATGAATAAAAGACTCGCAGGTTGCTTGTTACACTGTGTCACCTCATTCAATTTGCGTCCTAACATTTGTCGTCTCTTTCTAATCTAGGCATCTTGTTTTCTAGGGCCCTTCTTGTTTTTTTTCGCCCTCTCGCATTAGATTTAAGGTCTCCAAAGGACGTCATCCATAAAATTTACTTGGTGTGGCCTAATGTTGTAATGTTGTTTCACAGGGACGGGCTTATGTTGTCTCCGGGGCCGGGTAGAAATGAATACGAATGTTCGGACTGTCTGGACGATGACCACACCCTGGAGTGGCTAGCTGTATGGTACCTCCCGGATCTGATGTTGGTACGAGGGGTGATCCAAAAGTTCTCGGCCTCTCCCAAAAAACGTGATGGCAGAAAAATTTTTCTTACACTATTTTTTAACATAGTCTCCTCTAACTTCAATGCACTTGGTCCAGTGATGTTCCAGCTTTCCTTTCCCTTGTGGAAGAATATTTCGTCTTAAGCCCTTCAAAATGCCTAAACCACATCAATGACGCCATCATCACCATCAAAACGTTGACCACGTAAGTGGAACTTGAGTTTAGGAAACAGGTAGAAGGCCCACGGTGCTAGGTTAGGTGACTAGGAAGAGTGGGGTAAGACTTCAAAGCCAAATTCGTTTGCTGCTGCCACTGACCCCTGTGCCGTGTGGACAGGTGCGTTGTCAGCACGTCAACTTGGAGCTTTTCTCCCCTTTTCTCTGTGATTGTTGCCCTCAAATGCCGCAATTCTGGTGCACAGTACACCCCATTGATGGTTGGACACTTTTGCAGGTAGTCAATAATGATTACCCCCTCACTGTCCCAGAAAACAGAGGCAAAAACCCTTTCAACGGGTAAAACTCGCTTGGGATGCTGGGAACCGTTCTTCGTCAATTATTTGCTCTGCTGTTTTGATTCGGGGTGAAAGTGGTGAACCCATGTCTCATATTGGGTGACAAATCATTTGAGTAAGTTGCCCTGATGGACTGAATTCGTTCCTTGAAATATCCAGCCTGTTTAACGTGTGATGTTCAGTCAACATTCTAGGCTCCCACCATGCAGACAAGTTGCTCATCCCCAGGATGTCTGACAAAACATTGTGAATTGTACCACAAGTCAGGCCAAAGAACCTGCTACATGTTGGACAGTCTCACATCTGTCATTTACTACCATGTTATGGATGGCCTCAACTGGATTGTCCATGGTGCTGATTTGTGGCATCCTGACATATGTTCATCTTTTGTGCTCTCCTTGACGCGCTTAGAACTAGCAACCCAGTTCTTTGTGGTTAAATAAGAAGGGGAGTCATCACCAAGTGACTTGATCATGTCTTTATGGATTTCCCTAAGAGACATAGTTTTTTATCGATACACTTGATCATAGCACACGCTTCTGGTGCGGCCATTTTGTGATTTTGCCCTCACCCGCCCCATTTTCACGGGGCATCATTTGCTAATTAATGAATGTAAAAATTTGCATTTTTGTGGGCAGTGATGTAAGACGTCATAGTATACAGTTATACCAAAGAATACGCGTTTGACCTCTATTTTCTAGGTGAGGCCGAGAACTTTTGGATCACCCCTCGTACTTTACACAAGAGATCCTGACCGACCGTCCTTTAGCAAACTCCACATGAAGACCGTGGCCCACAACTTCGCATTTTCAATTTTCGCTCATTAATTGTGTGGCTGTGTTTAAACCGCAAATAGGTAATAACTATGGCTCCCAACGTGTCTCGAGATGATTGAATAACTTCAACATTTCAACATTCAACTTGAATTTTTAGAACCATTGCAACAGCACATCACAGCAAAGAGGTTACGTGTTGCTACTCAGCACAAGAGGTCAATGAACTGTAGTTGCAGGACACGAAGTTCACCTGTATGGGCTGATGTAACGGGAGTTACGGGCCCACAGCTCCCTGGTTCCTGAGCAAAGGGCAATGAACTACAGCGACGGTCACTCACACGCGCATGACCTTCCATTTCCGCTTGAGCGCCTGTGTGTAACCGCGAAGGTGAACCACAATAACACGGAACTGCCGAGTCTGCTTGGTCACCCTGACTTGAACGATGGGGCCATCTCCGGCCACGAGCGGATGGAAACAGGAAGTCGTCTTATGTAGGGATTTTCCCTACAATTCCGTCGACCAAGGGTTTTTAACAACGAGGTTTACCAGACAATGAATCGGATCTCATTGTACTACCTGACATCATTCTGGTGTTCTCGACTCTTCTCGAATGCAATGCTGTCCTGTCATTTTGCAAACTTTCATTCCGGCTAAAACTTACGAACAACTGAAATACCTCCTCGAAATATTAACTGCATCTACATATTTTAGAAAACTCACACAGAGGCGCTACTCATACCGTGAAAGCCATAGACATGTTGGAAAGACAGTATCTGGTAAAATAAGTTCGGGCACCTAAGAACACTCAGATCAAGGACATGATTTCTCTGTAGTCTGTAATAATGTGAAGCTCCCCGGGTAAGTGAGTGTAAAGGCGCCCCGTTACAAATCGGATGGCCAGGCTAGACATTGTAGACTTTACTAGGACTGCTAGGACAAACCGCGCTCCCATGCGAATCTAAGATAGAATTGCAGCTGGTCCACAACCACGCTAAGAATAGGACGAGGTATTTGTCACGTTCAAAGGGAGGGTCAACATTCGGCGAATTCGGCAGGTCAAATGTGGTTGGGCTGTCTTTTGTCTTAGCCGCGCCCCCACGGACGTCATAATATGATGGTGCCAAACTCTTGCTGGTGTGTACGCAGAAGTACCTACGTAATCTCTGGTGACGTCAGAGTTACTGGTGTGTATCGGTTGCCAAGCGGCGGCTTAGGGCTAAACGTACAAAGAGTAATTACCGAGAACCAACATGGCAAGCATGCATGACAAATAAGGAACAGTCCTTTACGACGAAGAGAGGGTAAATTGAACATCATGAAGCATTTTTGGAAGTAAAATTTTGTTGAAAATTATCAATAAAACTTGCACATTTTTTTAAAATGTCATTATATGTACAAACCAGACTTTTTTTGAGAGTGAGTTCATAGACTATAACAAATCACGCCTACCCTTTGGACGGCAAAAATACTTTATGTCAACAAATAGCTTGGTACCGTCCCGTTTGGGGAGGGGGGTAGAGGTCCAAAGTGCAGATGAAAATGGCCAAGGAAAGTAACTTTTGAACAAGAAGCTACTCTCGCTGCGTCTCGAGGACGCAGAATTGCCATGAATGCCCATTGTGGTTGGAGGCTCCCGGGGATGAATCTTTAGAAGAAAACACTATCTGCCGCAAAGACAGGCAAGTTGTGGCTGTTTACGTCTGGTTCAGGAGGAAGTCGCCATATCTGACAGAGATTAGAGAGAACAGGTGGTTGATATTTAGATCTTCCAGGCCATCCGCGGCGAATTCTTCACGCACGACGCCTGGATACGTACTCTCTATTATTCACTTGCAACTACGATCTCGGCTCAGTCTGCGTCCTAACCAAAACAGATGTCTATGTCATTCTCTAACTAGTTTCACACGGTGTTGTCTTCACCAATCCACCAGCGTCCTACATCGTTGGACACCACAGTTTGCCCAACATTTTGAACAGTAAATATTACCGTCATGTCAAGTTCGCCATGTTCCAGAATTGGTGCTCTGCACATAGCAGTTTGAACAGTTGATGACGGGATCTTAGGGCACAGAGGTCTTGGTCACTGGCACGATTTCTTGGTATCATAATTATTGTACAATTGGTTCAAGAAATTTCAAGGGGAAACGTTTAAAAGGAAGACAGGACAATGTCAGCGACTGCCGCCAGTCTGGCGATAGGCTCCATCCTGAGTGTGGTCGGCCTAGCTGCCCTCGTTGGAAACGTCCTGCTGCTTGTAGTGTTTGGGCGGTCTCGCCGCCTGCACACCTCCTCACCTACCACCTGCCTCATCGCCAACGTAGCGGTGGTGCATGTCCTGGCCGTGCTGCTGTGTAACGTCCCCACCATAGCGGCGGCACTGTCTGGAGTCTGGGCCATGGGACAAGCCATGTGTTTGGTGCAGACGTTCTTCCGCACGCTGGCATTGTTACTGCAGGTTTGTCGACTTTGATTTTTCTCAGCCTTAACTTGCTGATGACAATTGCAGAACGAGATTGCCTTCGTTATACGTACGGGTAAGCGTTAGTCCCGGTTCTATTGTGTCATTAGGACAAATGTGAGATACACACTGTTTGGTTTGTTGAAAGGTACTTGCAACAATATGATGACAATGTCGATGTGCTTTTGTAAAAAAAGATTACTGGTTTTGAGTTAGAGGTACTTGTAGTTTTTGGATGATGTGCTGGTATTTGTAATCCATGTAAACTCAAAAGTAAAATATATTCACTTCAAACTCCCCACAGGCTCACACGCTGTCCGTTCTGGCCTTCGAGCGGTACCTCCGGATTTGCCGCCCACTGAAACACGAGGAGGTGTTCAGCGGCACGGTGGTCATCATCATCCTGACCGGCCTGTGGTTCTGTGACACCATCATTGCGCTCAACCCGTTCTACGGCTGGGGGAAGATCCTGTAAGGCGCGCCATGGGCGTCATGTTCTTCTTGAGCACAGAAAAACATTTGTGGGAATCTGAAATTGTATTGGCTAGCACAAAAATGTAACCTAGATTCATTGTTTTAAGTATTCTATTTTAAAGAGTTTTATGCTGTCTTGATTCCCAGGTTCGACCAGGATGGGTACACTTGCGACCTGGACTGGGTGAAGTCGGAGTCGCTCCTGATCTTCACCACGCTGGTGGCACTGGTGGTCCCCATGGCGGCCTCCGCGGCATGCTACATCGCCATCCTCGGCAGAAAGGTAAGTCTCTATAGGTATATGCCAAAAGTGCACACTGTCAGGAACGGAGGAGGCGAGGAAGAGGGGGAAATACGTACAGAGACGCTGAGGCAGAGACAGGCTAATCCTGTTATGACTACATGTGCTTTATTTACCGAACTCAGGTCTTGAGGCTGCGGAAGAGGGTCTCACCAGCATCCACCACCGAAGACGAGTCTCCCAGCCAGAATCAGGAGGAGGAACAAGGAAACAATAACCAGGAAACTTACGCCGAGAAACTTCGCCGCCAGGAGTACCGGCTCCAGAAACTCTTACAAACACACGAGATGGGTTCTAAGCCTGTAGCGGAGAAACTACCACAAGAGGTCAAGAGGAGGACCAGGGAGGGGCAGTCTGAATCGGACAGTGAGTTTGAGGACTTGCCTCCTCCCCGCACAGAGATCGAACACTCCAGGAGGGAAGCCGAGTTGCGAGCCTGGAAAATGAGATACCGACCGAGAGAGGTTAGTCGGAGTATCTAGTAGTGAACCTAATGCACGGGTGGTACCTTGGACACGAGCGCAAATCAACATTTTCTACATGTCAGGAATTACAGAAAGAAATAGAGAAAATCTAACAACTGAACTCGGTATGATAATCACTGGAAATATACATATAGTGGTCGCTTTATGTTCAAGGAATATTCACAGTAATTACTGGTTTATTTTTCAGGTCGCCCTGGCAAAGACGACGCTGTTGCTAGGTGTGGCTTTTCTCATCTGTTGGTTACCATACTTCGTGGTGACGTATGTGGAGTCCTATGCATTAGTGAGCACTACAGCTGGGACCCTGATCGCTCTGGTACTGGTGCACCTCAGTACGGCTGTGAACCCCTACATCTGCGTTGTGCACAGTCACAAGTACAAGCGACACTGCAGAAGGACTCTGAGCTGCAGGAGGGCGCTTTAAACAGTATACTAGTACTACGGTGTTGTGATTGATTCGGACATTTCAAGTTACACCATAGCCCAGTCAATATCCAATACATGCATTTATCCATATATATACAAAAATATAATGCTTCCATGAGCTATTCTGGCTCACCTTCGCTTTCAAGGTATGCGGTATGTTTTCTTTTGCGTTTATTTGTGTATTTTTGAGGATGTCAGGATCATAGGAATATCAAAGATGACTAGGCATGCTGAGGCTCATCCTGAAGACCCCTAGTTGCTTCTTATGTATAGCAGGGGCTTTATTTGGAGCTGTGATTATTGTAGTTTGAGATGTTTGTAATGTCAGGAAAACGGAAAATAAAGAAAATAGAGCAAGGCGGTCACGTGTTACTTTGACTTTACAATAAAGAAACAATCCATCAATCGTGTTGGCTTTAATGATCTACCCCTATTTATGATATGATTAACTTATTACTGTCAAGAAACTGACCAGATAGACTTAACGTTAACGTTAACATCTTCATTAAAAGTGCAACAAAAATTAAAGTAAATCTTGTTTTATCGTTTTTTACTTCACGTACCTTTACTACAAGCAAGCACGACAAAAAATGCTATGGTATAACAAATTTTCAAAAGCAAATCTCATACATACGAGCTGAGAAAACATGACATCCAAACTAGTGATATGTTGGCATTCTTTTGGTAGTTTTGCACCCCTCTCTAGTGGAGCGCGTTTTTCTCTCTGGAAATCGATTTTGTTTGATATGATGGCGTTGTTTTGGCGCTACGTTACCGCCAACCCCCCACATATCATTACCTTTCTTCAAGGACGTTCGTTGAACGTCCTTGCTTTCTTATACCGTCATAACATCACCACCTTACAATGCACCTGTTCTATGAGAGATTGCGCTGACCCTACTTTCCCCCAGCATGCCTTGCGTGTGGTACCGTTAACCTTTAACCCCACACAACGGTCCTAGTGCGGAAGTGCAGCAGCAGCCAGCAGCTGGATCTCTGTGTTTAGTTCACACATCACGTTCACAAGGTTCGTACACAGATATTCTCTCGTCTGTAACGCGGTCGGTGGTCCGGAGCTTTCAACTACTTTTATATGTATCCGGAGGTGTTAGTTATTAGCTTGCACGTCTTTGAAAATGAGCTTAAAACGGGCGGGAATGTGCAGGTGCTGCAGTGCGGGTGTCATGACAAGATTATGGTAATTTGTAACGGGCCCCAAGGAATCGCCATGCTGACCTGATAGCCCGAAGAAATATAGCCAGAAGCTGAGAAACGTCATTTTCTCTACCTGTCTGTCTCTGTATTGTATGAATCAGTGCTGTTTTTACTTAATTTCCTGACATGCACGGCCAGTGCACTGATGCATGCATGCTGGAAACAAAAGGAGAAAATTATTTATATGCAGGCATTCCCGCAAGCACAAACGCCCACATGACTGGTGTATGACACACAATTAGGCACGTTACCATGTAGATTTGTCACGCTATTAGCTGTTATACACCAGTCATGTACTAGGTCCAAGGAGATGCAATTTTAGATTCAAATCTAATTTACATTACATGCAAATCAGACTCATTAAAATTTATCTTTCAAACTTAATGGCCACTACCGGTATTTTATATGCATACATTCAAACATACTTGCATGCATTGTACAATGGTGCCAGTGGCATTATTAATTCAAGAACTAACAACAGTAACATATCCCAATTTAGTGGAAAGATGAATTTTCTAGTGTTCAAGATGTAATAATGACAATAATGTTTGGCCGATTTTTCTCCACGTGAACAGAGCCATACTTCAGTACAGCCTACCTCCATCAGTAGGCTACACAAGAGATGTGGTCATGGCAGAGAAGCTGGCTGGGTGGGACGCTGTTTGCTTCCCTGATGTTCTTCTCATCCTTCTTCGGTACCATCTACATCCTGACCCCAATGCTCCCGCTGATGTTGATACGACCCAAGTGGTACCGTGCAGTCGTGGACCAGTTCATCGCATGGTGGGAGACATTTCCAGTGGTAAGCTCCCAACTAACTCACAGCACCTCCAAAATCTAACTTCAACCTTGTTTTCGGAAGCCACATCAATAATTGATTTGATGGCTGTTTTTTTTTACATCAAAATTGTACATCCATCATCAAGTGGAAGGGTATTGAATTTCAGAATACAGGGGGTAGACATTATGTTTCAGCCTTTATTGAGGGAAAATTTGTGTTCTGTTCTGTACTTTAATCTGTCATCTGAGAATTTGATAGTGATCCAATCACCCTTATCTGATGTTTGCTCTTAATCTTATCTGTCCATGCAGGCTCTTCTAGGTGAGTTTGTCGTGTGTCCTATCTACAGCAGGTTTGACCTTTGTGATTCATTTAACCATCCTTATCACAATGTTTCATTATGTTTTAGACTCTATTCTATTGTCATGTCAATGATTAATTTGTATGGAATAACATAATGATAACATTGTACACTGTACCCTACAGTTGTGTATTGCAGACTTGTTGAAGTTACACCAGTCCCTCATTATAATGACATAAACCAAATCCCAAGATACGACTCATTGTTGTGATCTTAGAATAGAAATATTGTATATACAAAATTTGCTTTGCCGAAACTGTTTCCCTCCTGTCCATGCTGGCTGCAGAGCTTGTGTATGGTGTTAGGGTTCGTCTGACAGGCGACGTGATCCGGCCGGGGGAGCGCACACTCATCATCATGAACCACAGGTCACGTCTGGACTGGATGTTCCTCTGGGCTTGTCTACTGCGCAGGGGTCATCTGTCCAAGGAGAAAATCATCCTCAAGACATCGCTTAAGAATATCCCAGGTCCAGGTGAGGCTTCTGTTTCACTGAAATTGCCATGTTAAAATGCCAAATATTACCTTGAGCAGATACGCTACTGGCAGTGGGAATATGTGTGCCATGATTAATCAATGTTGGAAAAAAAACAGATTCAGTCACATGCTTTGCTGGTAAATTGTTGATGGAGCTGAGGCCACATCAATGTGAATTATGTCAGGATGCTGATTTGCCAATAGTGGAATCTATTTCTGATAATATTGTTTAATATTTATGTAGGGGGAATTCCAGAGGCAGTTCATCTGTTGACATAAGCATACAAATGACTCCATATTGATACAAGACTCTTCAGTTCAGTTCAGGGGATGCAGCTCAAATATCTTGATCCTTGATGGGATAACAAACATTGGGAAATCACTAGTATTGTGTCATCATAATTGCCAGGGAAATTTTGCTTCAAAAGGTCCTATTTGTAAACATTTCTTATGATGGATTAATTACCAGAATCTCTGGTCTCTGGTGTGACTACGGAAAGCATCTAGAGCTGCACAACTCAAGATACACAGTTGTAAGTCTATTTATGATTTGATGGTTTATAAAGGTCATGAAACAATTAAATGGGAATAAGGATTTCACTAACATGCACATAACTTTTATCTGTACTACCACAGGTGTGCTCATGTATGGGGCTTCATGCTATGTGTTTGAGAGAGAGAGTGTGTGTTTTAGTGTGCTTGGGATTGTATGATATCCTCATGTACATGTATTTGCAAAACAAATCTGTGTGGAGCAAGTTGGCTACTGTCTTGTGCCTCTTCACTAAAGATGCAAGTGCCGGTAGTCCTTGTGGGCTGAAGTTGACAGCAGGTGAGTACACTGTTGTTGTTGTTGTCCCAGGTTGGGCCATGCAGGTGGGCTGTTTCCTCTTCATCAAGAGACGATGGGATGAGGATGAAAAAATCTTTAAGAGGATGCTGAACTACCTGACATCCATCAGACATGCAACCCAGCTGCTGCTCTTCCCAGAAGGCACAGACTTGACTGAATACACACGCAAACGTAGCAATGACTATGCAAAAGAGTATAACCTTCCGAAGTACAACTATGTCCTCCATCCAAGAACAACAGGATTCGTCTACATTGTGGAAAAACTCAGAAAAGGTAGTTCAAGACACATTAATCACTCATGACTTCACTTAAAAAGAGAAGGTCTTTTTGATTTGAATAATTGATGATTTTTTCATCAACTAGCCAGTAAAACATTTATCATTTCTCTCCTTTCCTCAACCAGCCAAACAACTTGATTCCATCCATGACATCACTGTCGGCTACCCAGCCGGGGTCCTGCAAAATGAGATGGACCTGTTTGCAGGCCGTTTCCCAAAGGAGGTTCACTTCCACATCCGCCGGCACCCCCTGCGCACCCTTCCCAACACCACAGGCCAGCTGGAGCTCTGGTGCACCACCCGGTGGGCAGAAAAGGAACTGCAGCTCAAGGAATTCTACCAGAGGAAGCGGTTCAAGGACTTGAATCTTGTGGATGGACGAAAGTCAGCGAACCACCTGCGGAAGGAGCAGGTCAAGGCCATCCTCTGGCTCTCCATCCTCTTCTGGGGCAACTTTGTGGTGATGATGCTGTACCTCATGGTCACCAACTTTTTCATCCTCAAAATGACCATCATCATTGCTGTCTTCTACATTATCGAAGGTCTCATCTTTGGTGGGGTGGAAGACATGGAGATCAAGCTACATAATGCAGTCTGGGGGAAACTGCCATGGAAGTGATATGAGTGCTTTCAGGGCAGTGTAAATATTATAGTAGCAAGGACTGACCTCTAGTAGAAGAACTATTTCCTTCATCTGATGCTGGTGAAAGAACAAATAAACACAAATGTTTACTGGCTGATAGAAATCATTTGTCACCCAGGCTAGAAAACTCTATGATATTTCTATATTGTGGACAGTTGGCAGAAAAAAAAGTGTAGACACAAATGTCTTTTACTTTGTAATTGCATCACATGGAATTATAAGTACAAATACCAACAAATATGTCTTATGGAATAAGCTAACGAGAGCTAACACTTGATTGCAAGCAAGAAGACACAAACATGTTGTGATTTGTTTTGCAAAGGATAGTAGAGTGCAGTATTGTGTTAGTATGTGATAAATATTTCTGTGAAATAATGATGCAGTATCACTTTATTCAGAGAAATACCCTGCAGGCAGCTTTTATTTTAGACAATATTGTATAACATTAAAGAAAAAATTCTATCTCCAAAAATTTAGATTTGTTATGAATTCTTATGCTACTTCACTACAGTCAAAGATATTCATCACCTTTCCATTGGCATGTACATGTATTTGTGTTTGTATATGTTGCCAAAGATTTGTGTCTCCCTACAAAATTGCAGTAATTGTACAATGTAAGGGCTGTGCAAATAGTGAAAATAAGAGTGTGATTAGTAAGCCCAAAGTTCAAATCATAGGCTCTGTAAAGAACTGTTAAGAATATCTAGAATTCTTTGTGATTCTTCTAATGCCCATAGATTCCATGTATTGAATATTAAGTCAGTAATGCAAGAGTTAAATGTGGTATTTACATTATGTACTAGGTATTTGATAATTTGATTATAAACTAGAAAGGCCGACATTTGCTTGGGAGCAAATGCAGCAGATGGCTTCACCACATCCCCCATACCGAAAATGGATCTATCCCTTGATGGCTGCCAATAGTCTATACCCCCATGCAGCAATGAAATCTTCCAATGCCGGAAAAAGCCAAAAAGCCCAATTTTACATAATTTTTAAGTGGTGTATGTCAAAAGCGTGAATGACATTCTTTGGACATGTGTCCAAGGTATCCCAATACCGAATTTCAGGTCATTCGGATTGAATATTAGGGCACAGGAGCCAAAAATTTACATTTTTGGTCCAAAAATAGCCAAAAAGCCCTATTTTTCACAATTTTAAAGTGGTGTATGTCGAAAGCTTGAATTAGGTTTCGCAGACATATGTCCAACGTATCCCCATACCAAATTTCATTGTTTTCATTTGGTTTTAGTACCAGGGCTCCAGATCCCAAAATGTATATTTTTTGCCTGAAAATGGCCAAAAAACCCAAATAAAACAATTTTTCAAAAAAATGCGTCGGGGTATTGGCCCACTCTACGTCCATGCCAAATTTCAGGTCATTTGGCTGAAAAATGGCTGAGTTGAATCCCTTTAAAGAGATGGCAGGATGAGAAGAAGAAGAAACATGAGGGAACACAATATGTCTTCACCACTTTGTGGTGAAGCCATAACTAGAACACTTCATAGAATCCAATGTCAAGAATGCAAAATATTATTTATTGCTACTTACATCGCTATATATACATCATCTGTTTGGTCTCTTAAAATCAATTTTTATGTTACTTGATGTAAAGAGTTTATGTGCTTGGTGCTGTCATTGCTGTGTTTTGTGTACATTGATTTGTATGTATGGCTATAGTGTGGTTTATACATATAACCATCCTTGTTACTTGCAAGGCTACCTCATCGTTCTGTAGACCTCTGCAAAGAAACAACTTTTGCTTTGTTTCTGTATGTGAAAAGGTTTATTCTGATTTGTTTCATGGGCAGTATCATAAAAGGAAATGAGTGATGCCAGGCTCTGTGGTACAAATTTACTGGTTTCAAGTTATGGTATGTACTGTACAAAACATTGAATACATATTGTGTGTTCAAAAGGCGTCATGTAATTCACTAGGGAATTTTACTACTACTTCTGTAGTATTATCTCAGGTTCTGCCATAGAAAGTCCTGAGCATGTTCTTTTAGTAAAAATCAAGCATGCACAAAGGTTTGACAACTTAAAGAAAAGTGTAACAGGTGAAGAAATTAGATATAGTGTTGTGTAGTCTCTGTGAGAGTGTTGAAGTGTTATGCCGTCTGCTATGCCCTACATGTGACACCAGCTTGCCTTATCTGCCTGGACATTTTATACATGGGAAATTGAGAAGACATATTCTAATCTGACAAACAAGTTCTTCAGGAATAGATGGACCTACAGGTCTCTTCTAAATAATGGCTGGCAGAAATGTAGTAACCATAAAACAAAAGGAAAGTCTTAAATGACTTATCCCTTTCACCCCCATATCCATGTATACATTGTAGTTTCTTGTTCTGTCTGTTGTTACATCTTGTACCTGGCATTACTACCAATGGTCCATGTGTAGGATACATAGACCATCATTCTAGTGATATTGTTTGCAGCCATTTAGTGCAAGAGTATCTGCCTACATTATTTATTGTACCCATTGCTCAGTCCAAGTGTAGTCAGAACTGCAAGTTAGCCAAACCTGTCATTGTAGCTCCCACATACCGTACAATGTTATAACTGCTATTGTAAGATACTGTTTAGGAAATGCACATTCAGTGCACATGATACACTATCTGTCATCCCTGTCCAGTCATGGAGATGGTGACAGTGCAGAACTGTAAATTACCTTGAGCTTCACTTTTGGCTGGGAAGCAAACAGTTTTTTTTCAAAACATAATTGTCCAAACTAAACTACCAGAATTTATATGCATTTATATGTTGCAAGAGTTGAGGTTCATCTTGTCATGTTTTCAGAACAATGTTGCCTAAATATAACTCTTTTGAGAAAATTTCTAAACGTTTGTAATGTGCCCAAGCACTGCCCATGTATGCACACAGATGAATATTTGTGACAGTTGCAAAAGCTGTACTGCTGTATTCACCACAGGTGCTTTTTGCGTAGGTTCTGTGCATGTGTCAAAGGCTGTGGTATATCCTTGGGTATATATATGAGTGGTAGTCTTATTTTAAAAGTTTCTATTTTGTATTGCATTGGTGTAAATGTACAAAGTATATGATACATGTGAACAGGCATCTTGTTCAGTAAATAATACTAAAACATAGATAAGCACTATTGACTATAAAAGAGCAAGAACGTCCTTGAAAAGAGTAATGCTAAACAGGTCATGAGTAGTGTTTTATGTACGTTAACAATTTGCTGAAAAATTGGATGGAGCAACAACGTAGCAGGACAATTTTCAACTGTGTGTCAGAATCTTGTCAAACACCTGGCAATACATGGCAAGACTGGCATGAGGCAGAGTAAGATGAAATGGGGTGTCCTCCTTGAAGTTAACAACACATTAGAATGATGATGATGTACAACTGTACCTAGAATGCAGGTAAGAAGCACGTTAAGTCAATAAACTCATGGAAATATGATGTGTGTGTGTACATGTATATACTTTTCCCACCCATTCTACATAATCCTTCACTTTAATACTTTGAACTTGACCAGTCCAGTTTAGGGATAACGTTAACGTTAGGGCGAAGTATTGTAAACGTCCTTGAGTTTTTTTCCTCGAGGAGATAACCTTGATACCGTCTTGATAACTGTTAACAGAGCCTGCTTCATCAGTAAATTGCGTTCCGCCGTATTAGTAGCTTGGACCTACATGTTCCTATATAAATAGCACAGATTTTTCATCAACGAGAAGTTCCCGGGAAATTTTTCATTTCTGCCACTGACGTCATGGGTGGGTCAGCTGCCTGCTACTTGATTGGCCAGAAGTGGTGACGTTTTAGAACCTCAGTCATCGCTGATTGGCTGTTCTCAACATCCGGGGTATTTTCTTGTTGCGACATTTTGCTTTGACCACAGTCCGCGTGAGGTGAGGGGACCGAGGTGTCGCGTAGCGTGGCATGTTTTGTTCCGATATTCTGCCGTTTTCAGACATTATTTGTCAACTAAAATGGCTAAACTAGGTGTCAGACTTTGAGGGTTATTTTGAAGCTATTTAACCGTGAATTTTCTCTGTTTTGTTCCAACAGACGGTGGTATACTGCGTGCAGCCATCCCGGACGAAATTCTGTTGCCACCCAACACCCTACCTGGGCACCACTTTGCTGTGTCTACCATTGCTTTGCAACCGCAACCTTTGTATATGTCTTTGTTTTGTCGCAACGGTAAGTTGAAAGGAGCAAAATTTGGGTCACTTCAGTTACAATTTCCTCTTGCAGCGACCCGCCATACGTCGACCAAAAAATCGTATCCTCGTACGTGCCAAGTAGCGGGAGAATTTTCAACATGGCGGACAAGTTTCTATTTCAGTACCCATTTTGCCATGTGTGGGGCCAGGCCACGTAGCAGGGACTTCACAAATTATTATTTGTCACTAATGTAGAGACCTCCCGATAACTTTCACTGACTTAACTGAAGGCATGGGTGATAGAAGCGGCAGTTAAATTCGTGAATGGTTTACCAGTTAGGTTAATTGCGTAATACAGAGGGCCACATGGATCGATATGACACATATGGGCATTCTTCTCACGTTCGGTTTGTGAGTTATATGTTGAAGGACACAGTCGTTTCTTACCTTTACATTACATGCCAGAGCCATCATTACAATGATGTTGGGCATCAAGGAGAAGAAGAAGGCTGGACTTTGTCGTCTAGCTGCTGCCGCTCTGTTCGCAGTTTATTCTTGTGGATGAGAAATTTATCATTTGCTCACCACATGAGAAGGTCTCCATATGGGAAGTTCACGGCATGGGCACTGGGTGGTAACATGGCACGTGATGTGGGTTTTCACGGTCAATGATGCCATTAAACGATGATTAAATCCCTGTTCTTTGGTGCTGATGTACAAGTAATTAGGTGCCAAATGTTTTATTGGGTTTTTTAAAGACTGAACAAATACTGACAAACCGACATTGTGCTGTTGGTTTTTCCATGGCAAAACTACTACATTGTAGTAGTATGATCACTGTGAGTGTGAGGTCAATCCTTTCACAGTTTGCTCTTTGGATCAGTGAAAATCAGCTTATTGGAGACAAGCATCTGCTAGATTCTTAAGTTTTGTGAAAAAATCAGTAACGTGATTGCATCACCTTTGTATGGTAGGAGGAATTGAATTGTGTCAATCAATCATATTTCATTGTGAAGTGTTGATTCTTCCACGGCAGGATATCTTGTGGCCTTCCTTGATAATCCTATCATAATGCAAATGAAGCATCTGTTAAAACAAATCCGTAATGTCTATGCCCTATTTATGCACAATTACAAAAAATTCAATACAACAAGGCAGGGATCAGGGAATTTGGTGACGCCCAAGTTTGGCAAAATACCAAAGGCAATTTTCCCACTCCATGTGACATGGTCTCAGCAGTGCATTACTCTGCAGGCATGTAGCCACCCAGTTATTTGAGCCTGACTGGGTAAGGCCATGATCCAATCTGCCCTTATGAGAAGATCCTGGATCTAACACTGCTATAATGTGCCCGTCAGCTTGTATATGGCCAGAAAGCCGCAGACTAGTAACGGGTGCTGGCTGATGTTCTAGTGTAGGAGATGTGATCAGATATCCTGGTACAGTTGTAATGTTTGATCTACCATCACTCATCTGTGAATAGAATAGAGGTTGATGTTGCCTTTTGTGTCCCTCTTCTCCACACTGCAGAGTTGTTGCTGAGGCCCTGGGCTATTCTCAGTGACCCTACAGGACTCTCCTACAGTTCTCAACCAATCAGGTGGGTCCATCACAAGCACCCACGGGTTCCGCGGCCAATAAGGTGTGTCTTCTTCACTTCAGCACACTGGTGGATTCCCAGTGTGTGTGTACGTCTGTGTGCCGCACTGTTGTAATTATTTAAAACTACCAAGTCTGTGTGTTAATATGCTACGCATTGACAAGTGTATTCATGTGTCTTTCAATCCCCATAATGATGAATACCTTTCGCACCATGTATGTTGACTAGTGTTTGTGTGTTTGTCAAGTTGTTACTCTTGCTGTGCCATTGTCACATTTGTATGATGGTGTTTCTATAAGTACCTACCAGATATTTGAGTGTGCTGGTAGCAGGGCTGGTAGTCATATTCCTTGACATCATCTGTACTTATCATCACTACACTTGATTCATTCTCTTATAAAGACATTCTGTGCACTTTTTGTTGGTCTCAATGTAAATCCTCAGAATTCGTGGGACTAACAGTTTTCCCTTTCTCCACAGGTTTATGCCTTGGACCAAGAACGAGCGCTTGATATGCAGTAGAAAGAGTCATCTTAAGTGTGTTCGGTATAAGAATAAACACAACAGAAATCAGCAGCCATGGCACTCAATGTCAACAGAGAAGTGCAAGACCAGTTCTATCGCTACAAGATGCCCCGCATCATAGCTAAGGTGAGGCAGACTTCTTTTGTCATGCTGTACTGACAACGCTGTGATATATGTTGTAATTATGATGGTGCCTGGCCTGTATGTCTGTATACCCAGCATAAAGCCATTAGTTTCTAATAGAACAGTGTGAGAAAAGAATAAGTTCAAGTTTTTGCCATGATGATACATGTGTAGATGTTTAAGAATATTTCCTGTCTCCTTTCAGGTGGAAGGAAAAGGAAATGGCATCAAGACGGTGATCCCCAACATGACCGACGTTGCCAAGGCACTTAGCCGCCCAGCCACATGTAAGTAACTGTGACAGCCTGATAGTTTGGGATGTAAGTCATTGTAAATAATTTTATGTCCAGGCAAGCACCTGTGTCTGTTCAAACATAACAAATTTTTAGTTTCTGATTATTTGTTCCTTAATTTAGTTGTTTTAAGAAAGCATATACTTGAAGCTGGTGTGTTACGCCGAAGGGCGGTTATACCCACTATACAGATACAGATACTGTGATTGGATTAATGACCAGTCCTTGACCACAGAATATCAAAGGTGTAAAAGGGCAGTATAACTTTTAACACTTAGCAGGCAATATGGTAATCTTGGCCACAAGATGGTCACAAGAAAAACAACCCAGAGTTTCCATCGTAACTAGGTTTTAGACTATCATGGTAAATGTGGGCATTGCCTGAACTGGGATGTTTTGTTCTGCAGACACAACTAAGTTCTTTGGCTGTGAGCTTGGTGCGCAGACCCAATTGGATGTGAAGAACGATCGCTACATCGTGAACGGTGCCCATGATGCTACTAAGCTGCAAGACTTGCTTGATATCTTCATCAAAAAGTTTGTACTCTGCCAAGAGTGCGACAACCCAGAAACTAACCTGGTAAGCAGAGAACAGATCAGGATACTTAAATGCTTGGTCTAGACTACTGTGCAAACAGAACTGTAGGGCACACACTACTCTATATAGATGGTAAATATTGGAGGATTGCCGCATTGGACATATAGAAGTTGTGCAGAATGACAAGTACTGATTGCATTGTCTTGATATATTTGGTGAAGAAAGGAATCTGTTAGAGGTCTGCAATATAGAGCTAATCAGTCACAGGGCAGTCTGGGTTTTTATAGAAATATTCATAGGTGTACCTTTGATACAGGTTCTAGGTGTACCTTTGTTATAGGTTGCTAAGTGATGGGGAAAAGCGAGTTTTTATTTTCCATTTGAATCATACAGTAGTTTTCTCTGGCTCATGACTATTGCTTTGTTCTTTATTCCAGAAAGTCTTTGTCAAGAAAGGCGTGATTGCCCAGCACTGTATCGCCTGTGGTTACACGGGCATGCTTGACATGACCCACAAGCTCACCACTTACATTCTCAAGTACCCACCAGATCAGGTAGGGACTGCTTCTGATGGTACATGGGTCATCTTTAGGATGGTCTAATAAATGAAAAACACTTGGCCATGTTTCAACAATGGAAACCTGGGAAAATTAATGGATTTGGTTTCACAAATGGAAGAAAATCATTTTTGGACATGTAAGTCACATCAACAGTGTGCTGATTGTTTGCACTGAAGTATCTGATTTTAAGTGTGAACCAAATGCTTATTAGATGCATTCTGATTATCTAAAAAAATGTATGATAAACTTCTTGAACTGAGACTCAAATCTAATCAAACAGGTTCGATAGAAAGAGGATAGTACCAATGTTTTCTTTGGCTGCCTTCCATCTGACTGGGGCAGATTTTAGTAATCCTTTGTTTCCTATGTGCAGACCAAGGCCAAGGACACCCCCAGCAAGACGGACTCCAAGCGCAAACGTGACAAGAAGGGGAAGCAGCAGCAGGAGAATGGGACTGACGGCGGGTCGCCCACCTCACACAGCCCCCCTCCAGATCAGGAGGTAAGTTAATGCAAGTGCAAACTTCTGGTACTACAAGTAAGTGCAAGGTAATGTTCAAAGTAAGATATTCTAACAATTGACCGCAGGAAATTTTGTGTATATAAGGACCTCAAGTGTGCTAATGGATTGTCACAAAGTTGCAATAGTGATGTCAAGTTCATCAGAAGACAAAAGGAAGCAATTTGTAGATAAATGAGAAAGAAAGACTAATAAATTGTGGTCCCCCCAGGACGATGATTGGGGTGATGACGGTGACTGGTCTGTGGACACGAGTGCCGAGGCCGTGGCCGCGCGTATGGAGCAGCTCCTGACTGACGGCGCCAAGGCCATAACCCTGAACGACGACTTGGTCAAGACTGTTGAGGAACGTCTCAACCAGTTCTTCGAGTTCGTCAAGGTGACAGAGAGGCTTCTACATTGTCCTTGAAAATTTGCCAATACAGAGTGGGGGAATACAATTAACTATATGTGGTGTAAGGAATTACTCTGTAAGACGAAAGGTTGAGAAGCAACTTTGGTAATAGAAAGCAAATAACGAATCTGTTTTCTGAGTTCTTACCTACATATATAGAATAGCAACCCATTGTTTGATGGGAGCCTTCTACTGACCCAACCTGTTTTTACAAGAGCAGCTAGTTGACTATCTCTGAGTACTCAGTTACAGTTGGGGCAGTTTCTTTACTCTACCATGTATGTCTTGGGTTTAGGCCAAGCGTGATGCAGGTCAGATTGAGGGGAATGACAAGGAGATCTTTGCCGAGGCGGAGCGCCTTGATGTGCACGAGAAGGGCATCCTCGTGCTGTGTGAGCTGCTGCTCGACGACAAGATGGTCACCCAGCTCAAGAAGTACCAGAAAATTTTCCTCCGGGTACGTCTGGCATCTAAGGCAATTTGCCCAGAGCTTTTGTTCATTATCACTACTGCTAAGCTCATCATGATTACATTGCTTCTCAGTTGTATATGACTTTTGTAGTTTGTAACAGTTTGTATTTTAACACTTAAATTTGTCCCATGTCTCAGTTCTGCTACGAGAGCCCTAAAACCCAGAAGAACCTGCTGGGAGGGTTCGAGCAGCTGGTGAACCTTCACAAGGAGGCCCTGCTGCCCAAGGTGCCCGTCCTGCTGAAGACCATGTACGACCTGGACCTGGTGGACGAGGAGGTCATCCTGCAGTGGGGAGACAAGGTACTGTGGCGTCTCCTCATTCAACAAGTTCCTCTTCAGTTGCCACCGTGCCCCAACTTACATTTGGTCTTGGGTTCAATTTGTCTCTAAGTCAATAGTAAAATAATTGATGTTGCTGATTTTCCAAACGTTAAAGTGTCACCCTTGGTGTCAAGAATCATGTTGTGCTTAAGTTTTTCCTTGACAAGTTTTAAGAGTCCAGGCATTGCACTTTCAACCAAGTAGCTTGCCAGAACACACCTATGAGTTGTATCTAACTTGCTGTTTTGCTGGGCAGGTTTCTAAGAAGTACGTGTCCAAGGAGCTGTCCCAGCAGATCCACGACAAGGCCGCTCCAGTCATCACCTGGCTGAAGGAGGCTGAGGAGGAGACCAGTGAAGATGAGGATGAGGTGGAGGTGAGTACCACAGGACTGGAGATGGGTCCTTACCTGTCCGTGCTGCTGTCTGTACAGGGTAGCATGTGCTTTAGAGAATCATGGAGGTTTTAGCCTTCAGGCTGCCTTGGCTTGTTTGTGAACAGAGCAAATTTCCATACCTTTCAAAAGATGAAAAAGTTCTGAGATAAAATGGATTCAAGATTTGGTATCTTTGTTTCATCTGAAGGGATAATTTTTGGAATGGAAATTTAGTCTTTCTCCTCTCTTCTTTCTTAGGTTGTGTATGACAACAAGGCCACTGAGCTGAAAACCGAGAAGGTGCCCACCAACAACCAGGAGGAAGAGGATGACCTGGACATTGATGCCATCTAGAGACGTTGTACGGAACTGCATTCTCATACTACTGTTTCTACACAAAAACTGGCTGTAGACCAAACGTTTTAGTAACATGAGGTATTCAGTATTACAGCCATGACTATAGACATTGTCGAAATCAAATATATAGACTTACTTAACAGCTGTATCAAGGTTAAAGCTGTTGGATGGAAGTTCCACTGCTTATACTGACTGAAGAACTTGGACAGCTCTCTTCATTCACATCCAAATAACAAAGTTACAGCTTGAGATTATCATATCTCGCAGTTAGTAGACAGGGCAGCTCTTGGTGTTTATCATAAGCTCAGCTACTTCATATAATAGGTAAGAATTACACAAATAAGCTTCATAGTTGCTGGACCCCCTTCACTAATGTGGGGGACATTTGATTCTCAATGTTTGCTCACTATTTGCTTATTGAAATTTTTGAACACAAATGGAGAAAAATGCTGAGATGTCCACTACTGGGCACAGTCCACAGAGGCTAATGTTGAAACTGCATGATAAACTGCCTGTATGATTCAAATACAGCAAGGGTGTCATTTTATGATTGTTGAATACAGCTTGGAGAACTCTTCCTATCAGCAGTCGTAAACAGTATCAGGTAATGCCAATTACATTGACTGTAGATCAGGATAAGATACCATTCTTTGTTGGAGGCATCTAAAGTAGTATCCAACAGGTAGTGATAACCAATCAATGAAGTCTGTTATGTGGCTTTGTACATGCAGTACACCTTGCCATGCTGTACACAAGTTAACCTGCTTGGAAAAAAACACCCGGAAATTTATGAACATAGAATAGCATTGAGTGTAAGCAAGCTTGTCTGCACCTGAACCCTTCACTGAGAAAAATCCTGGAGTTGCAAATTACTTGGACAAAAAAGTAGATTGTCAATAACTTGCATTACTTATGACAGAAGATTGAGCATTCCTCTGGGCTTGTCGTTCCACTTGACTTGAGAAGGTACCATGTCGCTGTAAAGCTCAGCATTTATTAATATGTGAATCTGTATATTACATGTTTTAAGTGTTTAGTGCTGTTCAATGTAGTGGAAATGTCTGTCCAAGAGAAAATATTGTTGGAGTGCTTTAAAGTTTGGTTTAGGTATGTGTTCAGAGGAAGTATTCTTGAATCAGTGGAAATAAATAGTGCTGTGCTATCAGATGCCTTCACTCAGGTGTGTTTCTTGAGCACCATGTTCAAAACCCTCACCACAGCCTAGTGTTGTCCACTTTGAGGTCCAATGAAGAGTCAAGTTGTTTTATTTTGGCACATCAATTATTGCCAGTACTGCTTGTCATCTATGACTAGGAAAATACTGCTAAATACCAAATTTAATTGAATTTATATCTCCTGCTAAGACAGATCCCACTTGCATTGCTGATATTTGAAGTCCACTAAATAGGATCTAGGACAGGAATGACCAGTGGAGACAAGAGTACACCAAAATAAAATTTATTCCCCAAACAAGACAAATCAAAACATACAGGTATGGAATGTCTAGATGTCAGCTAACCTCACCAGAGATAAATATCTAAAATGTTGTAACTCTGTTCCCAGGATAACCTTTAAAAAACTTTATTTACAAAACAAAATCTCCTTAAAGTGTCATTAATTCCCTGGTGGACATTGCTAAACCTGTTAGCAACAGTTGCTACTAATACAAAACTCCTGCCTGTACAAACTGGACTTCTCTTTGATTTGCATGAAAATCCCCCCAAAAAAAATTATGAATGAAAGTACTGCAATGTTGCAGACTGTAAAATATACCTGCTGTACTTTCTGGTACATTCCATGTTTACAAAATTTAGTTGTGAGAAAGCCAACTGCTTCCAGTAACAAGACAGATACACAAGTACTAGTATATTATGTATAGACATACCTATGTACAGATGAAATACATTAAAAACATATTTACAATCTCCGTGTGTAGAATGCTGTAAGGCACCAAAGAAGTACAACTGTACAAATATACTACTGCCAAGGGGTATACATATGGGGCAAGTTCCAGTAGCCTGGGTGCCATCCTCTGTAGTTACCATGTAGCTAGCAAAAAGAGAGCCAGGGGTAACTATGGCGGATACAACACAGGCTTTAAGTGACGCGTAACTACTAAGGCTATTGCACTTCTGTTCTACATCAGGCAAGAACTGAGGGATGAATAAGATATAAAACAAGGCTGGCTGAATCTCTTTGGATCCCTGCACTCAGAGAAGTAAAGACTTCAGGTGGTCAAAATCATCATTAGACATTAATTTTCAAAATATAGTTTATTGTTGACGTTTTGGTGCTTGTTAGCTTACAACTAAAAGTTAGAATGAGATAAAATATGGTCTACACAATTTTACAGAATTATAATTTTCCTTTGCAGACTAAGTTGTGCATGAAAGTAAAATCATCTACATAGTAATAAAAACTTCTGTACAATAAAGAGCCATGAACAGGCCTCAAACATAGAGCTTCCTGAGAACACCTACATGTACAGGGGCAAGGTTCTTTAACAGGCACCAGCTATATGACTGCAGGGCAGACCTTCCTAAGGACCCTGACCAGAGCGAGGTTTTTCTCTGCGAGCAGATGGCTGCTGCGCTCAGCCTCTTTCTGGCGCTGCTCCGTGACCTGCAGGGCCTTCATGAGCTGAGCGTTCTCCACGTATAGGTCCTTCACCAACAGGTCTGACCGACAGGTTTTCGACAACTGGGAACAGAACGCAACAGAATAGTTCAACAAGCAGTATGCAATTATACAACAAATAAAACAGAATGATGCAGGATGTATTCAGAACCTTTAGATGCAGGAGTAACATGCTATTACCTGGACTACATGTACAGTACCTGATGCGTCTGTCTTTTTATTGGCATGTATAGTATTTTGCAGATAAAACACAGTAGGCTGTTTAGTATTTTAATCTATTTGCTTGGGAAGAAAGTCTTACCTGTTCCTTGAGTTTGTTGGTTTGTTCATTTAACACAGTGTGCATCTTGGCCAGCTTGTTGTCCAGCTCTTCCTTGTCCTGCTTCAGTTTGGCCACCGTCTTCTCGTGGCCCTGCTGAGCGGTCATCAGCAGCTTGTTGGTCTCCGTCGAGCGCTGCTCCAGGGCGACTTCCAGCTCACGGCACCGTCGCTCCTTCTCAATCACCTGAGATGGGGAAGATTACAATGTCTTTAACTTCAGGATTTGGGGCAAAGAAAACTGGTAACAGTACATATGGGAAAAACTAAGGTTAATACATTGCAGGGCTCAAAGATTCATTCTTTGCTGACACTTCATTGGCCCTAACATCATTTTCAAGTAGGGAAATACATCTTCAAAAATGTGCATTATCTCCTAACATACATTGTACAATGTAACACATGTTCACAATCCTGACACTCCCCATACCTCGCATTACACAGCATTTGTCATCATTGTGCAGGATACCCATTTCTTTAACCTTAGTAGTTAGATTCCTAAGATTTCTGCATGCATTTATTCACCAAGCAATGCAGATGACTGGTGTGAAGCTATGTGAAGAAGGAGTTTACGTCAAAGCTATGTAAGTATTGCACATGCAGTTACCTATTGCACCAACATTGTAGTGTCCACCATTCCTTAATCCATTCTATGCCTTCACATGCACATTATACAGCCCGTTCAGTGTTAGAGCATGCTGTTCAGTTGTTTGCTGTGAAAAATATATCCTGCTTTACACTACAGCATGCACGTCATGCAAAGATGTCCAGTCAAGAGTCAGTGAACTGTGACTTGTCTGTGTGCATATGGTGTGCCCGGTGGAGATTTCAGCAGGTCGTCACCACTCACTTGCAGCCTGGCGCTGTTCAGCTCCTCGGGCGCGACCTTGCCCTGGGACTCGGCGCGAACTTTCTCCAGTTCCATGTCGTGTTGCTCGCGGACGTGCTTCAGCTCTCGGTCCTGCTGCGACTTTCCGAGCATCAACTCAGCATTGGCCTTCAGCAGCTGCAGGCCACAACACGTACACAACCAACAGAACAGTTTGCTGATTGGTGTGGGGACTTGATCTTACACTGGTTATTGCACATGAGCCCTTACATGCCATGATTTAGTTGTAGTTAGTGATTGTATAGAATAAAGAAAATCATAATGTTTTTGTACCTGGGGAGATCAATGAACATGTAATTTATTTCATAGTAACAGAAACAGAGAGGTCTTATAGAAAGAAGTCTTTGATTGGAGAACTCTAGAAAAGAACACTACCGGGTATTCTGCATGCATTAAATGTACAGCTGTGTAGTTACAGGCTATGTCAAAGCATTGTGCTTTCCAGAACAGATAACGGAACTGTCTGTGACAGACCTTGTCTTTAACCTCCTGAAGCTCCTTGTTGAGTGTCTCCTTTTGCTCTTCCAGCAGGTTGAGTTTTGCCTGGGGAGGAGGGCAGGCAGGGTTAGAGAAAACTAGGCACACGCCTGAGGAAACTAGTTAAGTTACCTACAGGTGGGGAGAGAAATCTGTCTGCCTGTAATGTAGGATGTGATTATGTGTACATATTGCACAGGAGTCCCAATAAGTAACATGCAGCTGCTGTTTCCTTGGTTAACACAATGTGCAAAGTTAGTGGACTTACCTCTTCAAATGTTGCAAAATGAGGACTTATGAGAGGGAGTGAGTTTAAGCATGCATGAGCTTTGTGTGCTCTTTAGCATCTTACACTTGCTACTGTTTTTTCACATTTTGTTGTGTTCACTTGTTTGCGTTTATTTGATTGCATGCATTTCTGGATGACATTGTGCAGTTAGATCTCTGTATGCCCCTACTGCCTATGCATGCATCTAACAACTATTGCACAGGATCTCCAGTATGCAGTGACATCCCGGCCGTGCTTGTTGTTGTTTGTTGTTCCAACCTTGTCCAGGTTGTTGATAGCGGCCATGGCCTCCTCCTGCTCCTGTTTCACCATCACCAGCATCTCCTCCTTCTCGCGCCGCGCAGCCTCCAGCTCCGAGCGCAGGTCAGCGAGCGTTACCTCCAGCTGTGGGGAGGACATCCAACCCACAGACATCAACACAGGACCTCCTCATGGTGCATGGAGTTCACATTACACCCCTGACCACCAACTTGCATGGTTTCATCCATTAGTGATTAATTATAAGTTAGTACATTAGTACATTCAAAACTGAGAACCAAAATCTGTATGTTGTGCAGTTAACACCTGAGATTGAAAAGGGATATTCTGGGTCACTCTGCGAAAACTAGAGATAGTGGATGAACAGGTCAGTTTACACTAACATCTGAAAGATTTAGTACAATATGTGCTGTATCCTGATACTAGAAACACCACCACCTGCTACTGTTAGTATATTAACGTTACTTGTTTGCTACCATAATTTATGCACCTTAACACCACCACCGGACTAACCACCACCTTTATTAAATATATGTAATGAGAACCATGCTCTTGTTAAACACCCTTATCCTTCTTCTTTCATGAGCAACGCCCCCTACCCTCTGGTTGTCCCTCTGCAGGCCTGTGTTTTGTGCATTCAGTTCCTGGACACGATTGCGGAACTGTTTCTCGGCCTCCTTCTCCCGTTCTTTCTCAGCGACCTGGCGCTCCAGGGCGCCTTTCTGGTTCGCGAAGACCTGGCGCTCCTCATCGAACACACGTTTGAGCCGTTCCATCTGCTGGGTGAAATGAGCCTCGACCTGGTGCCAACATGACGGGGATGCATGAAGGGGTGTGTAACGTGGAAAAAGGAACTTTGTCTTGGAGAAAGTACGATTTGGGGTGGAGAAAATTTGCAGGAGCGGATCAACAGATCTACAAAGTAATTCATTCATTAACCAAGACAAACAAAGCTTGTACGTCAGGTTCTAGGGAAACAAGAATCATATGAAACATCAGGGCAACAGAGGAGGCAACCCAACAAGTCAAGCATTTCATAGTGGATCTCATTTATGTTCAATAAAATGAACCTGTCGTTGAGCATATTCAACTTCTTCCAAAAATTCTGCTTGATAGCTGGATAAGTGATGAGTCCAGGTTTAGCACAATGGAATTGAGTTAATATGTACACAAGTAAACATCAAAGTATGTTACATCATGTTAGCAATGTGGAGGTACACTGAATAATGTGATTAGCAATTAGCAACCAATAGAATCACCACCCTTCCCTGTGATTCTATAACTGGCACAAATTTGGTTAGACAAGACGCTCATGGCAGAAAGGTTAGTACACCAACCTACATTGTACTTCCCTTGAATAGTTGTGAGGTTATTTTGAAAACCAGATTGTTGGTCACATATACAATGAGACACAAAGATGGGAAGTTGTTACCATCCAGCATGTAGTTAGAACAGAGTTGTCATGGTACAGATTTTAGATCTATCGAAGGCCAACTTATCCTAGTACCCTTTCTTTTTCTCGCTGAAGCTCCTTCTGCCTGTACTCTTTCTCATCCTCTTTCTCTTGCTCTTTCCGTTGTAGTTGTCCCTCTAGCTGTTGTATCTGGTACTGCAGATCATCTTGCCGTCTCTCAGAGGACTTTTTCACGAGATCAATTTCATCCTGCAACTCTGTCTCCATCTGAAGGTGAGGCCAAAAACTCGTCATGGAGAAAAGATGGTGCTCTTTGGGGCCTTGTTCCACAGGGAGATCAAATTCACAGGGTCCTCATGGACAATGGTGTTGAACAGACCCAAATAACAGAAACTTTACAGAATGTGTGAAAACAGAACTGAATGGCAAGAATGTGCTTTGGGGAGATTGAAAAATATTTGCAGTGATTCAACAAAATGTGTGTCACATACATGTGCTATCATATGAAACATGAACACAAATGAGGACAAAAAGCATGCAGACAACATAAATACTTAAACGATGGCAGTGCTATGCAGTATAGTCAGTGGACACTTACAATGTACGTGAAAGTCTACATGCACAATACTATAATATGGCTGACTTGAACACAGACAAGATTACAGAAACAAACAAAATGAAGTATTGTGGTGGAGACTAAATCACGATGATGAGAAATAATTTGGGTCAAACTTCTTGATTGATTTGTCCTGATTGGTTCCAAAATTGACATCCACCACAGTCCTAGTCCAGTGTGAGAAATGCCCCCTACCCTCTGTTTCTCGCGGTGAAGGTTGGCATTGATGGCCTCCGTTTCCTCTGCACGTTTCCGATATTGCCACGCTTCTTCCAGGTCAGAGTCCTTATTCTTCAGGAGGCCTTCCAGCGTGGCCGTCTTGTTGGCCAGCTCCTCTCGCTCACGGTCAAACGTTTTCTGCAGCTTTTCCACCTCCCGATTGTGTTCCGCCTCAGCCTGGAGAAGTGAGAGGGCAAAGGTCATTGCCATAGTGACCAGGAAGTGACTGGGGCTGCCACAGACTTGGATGACTGACATCTCTGCAGGCATGATGTACAAGACACCCAGCGCCGAGTCCCAACCCCAGCCCTTTCTTCTCACTACATTTCAATCTTAGATTTTTTCTTCAACACAATATGTTATTTCATGATAATTTGGCATTAGAAGGGTTGATCAATTAGTCCAATTTGCAGTGAAACTGAGACAACTTGCCCAGGATATGTCTTAGAGATCATTGTATCTGAATATTTGACCTTTTAACCCTGCTAAACACTAGATATTTTGGATGTCCAGAGCTACTACTAGTATCTTGCATGAAATTCTCCCTACCCTGTCCTTCTCCCTCTGTAGGCTGTTGAGCTGTTGCTGGAGAGCTGATGTCTCACTCTTCAGTTCTTCAACTTTAGTCTTCTGCTGCTTTCCTTCATGCTTCTCTCTCTCCTTCTCTTGCTCCTTGCTGTCCAGCTGGTCCTCTAACTTGGCCACTCTTTTCTGCAGGTCATCCTTCTCTTTGGTCGCTCGCTTTTCGACCTTCTCTCTTTCCTGGTTCAACTTTTTTCGTTCATCCTCAAAGCCTCTGGTCAGCTTTTCCTTCTCTTTCCTGAACTCTGCCTCAGCCTGACGAGGCAACAACAAACGAGGTCAAACGTGACTGTGCAACTAACAGGAGGACATTACAGTAACGGGACGAAGACAACAGAACATTCTAGCAGGCAGGAACACTGAGAGCCACATTGAACCACTTTATGCAAGACAAGAACGTTACGAAGTAGGACGACAGGCTAAGCAAATGTTATTTCATTTAGATTCCAGCTTTAAACCTGGTTAAAGGGCTTTGATGTACTTGTACTTGGCTACTATACACTCTGGCAGCAGAGTTCACAGACAGGGCATGTGCCCATAGAGCAGAAGTTTTATCTCTGAAAGCCTTTATCTACACACTACAGCAGATCTGAAGGCACTACAAGGCAGCAGCCCTGACCTTCTCTTTCTCTTTCTTCAGAGAGGTTACTTGTTTGTTCAAGTCATCAACTTTGCTTTTCAGCTGCTTCCCTCCTTCTTTCTCTTTTTCCTTTTCTCTTTCCTTGTCTCCAACTTGCTGCTCGAGCTGCCTGGACCTCTTGGCCAGTTTATCCTGCTCACTGGCAATTTTTTCCCTTTCTTCCTCAAATCCCTTTGTCAGTCGTTCCATCTGTTTAGCAAACTCTGCTTCGACCTGACATAAACATGCTCATTAGCCAACACTTTTCATCAAACCTTTTAGTTTTAGATGATCAATCCACAGTAGATCCTTTCTTCCCAAACACACACTAGATGGAAGATACCTGTTAGTAAATCCTTGTTTCCAGTCCTCACCATTTAGGATTATATTTCATTAACATTGGCAAGGACTACTGAGATGTTGTACAGGTTAGAGAATGGGAAACAGACAGATACATTAATCATAGACAGTTCCTGAATAATGATTGAGATGTTTCATGAAATGTATGAAATGCTTGACAATTACATGGGTTGACACAAGAGAATAAAAATTGGATAGACAACAATGTCTCCATGGATCCCCACCCCTCTCACAGAGGATAACAATAAGGCTGTTGCATGGTTCAGACACACAGCCCTGCATCCCTCCAGGAAGGCAAGGGCCATAAGACCTCTGCAGGAGACAACAAATGTAATACACTGTAACAAGTTAGGGTTAGGGTTAACTGTATTAGATGTAAACATTAGACCTGAAAGGACAAAGTAGTTATCATACAATAAGGAGGATGAGAGATGGCAATGTACAAGGATGGGTGGAAAAATAGATGGCTAGATAAATGGATGTAAGTATGAAAAATGAATGAACAAAAGGATGGATGGATGGTAAGTGGGTAGATGGGTCAGTGTTAGAGGATGACAGGTAAGTAAACTGTTAACACAAAAATGCACTCCACACCACCCACACCCTACCTTTTCCCTGGTGTCTGAGGACACAGATTTCTCCAGCTGCACCTTCTCCAGCTCAAAGTTCTTCCTCAGGGTGTCCAGCTCCTTCTGGTGCTGCTTCTGCAGAGCCTGCATCTCTGTCTGGAACTGCTGCTCCATCTGGTTTCTCTCCTGGGTGTACGTCTGGCACAGCTCAGCCTGGGAAATACAACATCCTCTTACATGTAGCTTACAACTTTTTTCTTGTGACAAAGGCCTAGGACATCACCAAGCTACTGTTGAAGAAAGACAATGCCCAAAGGTGGTATAAACCTGCTTGCTGAGATTCTCACCTTGTCCTTGTCCAGGGTGTTCATGAGGTTCTGCCTGTCCCTTTCGGAGTTTTTGCTGAGTTCCTTCTTCTCCCGTGCAAACTTCTTCTCCATGTCTTCCTTTGCTTCTTGCACAGCTTCCTTCTCTTTCCTGTGGATTAAAGGCAAATATGTGTCATCTGCTGACAAGATAAAGCAGGAGACAAAAACAGTCACATCTGTAAGTACATAGCAGTGTATTCCTACTAATGAAACCCACATCATACCACTTCTTGCATGTTCTCCTTTACTAGAGATCCCCCATACCTGTGCTTGTTCTCCAGCTGTTCCATCTCCTTGCGATGACTGTTGATCATCTCGTTCACCTCCTTGTCGAAGCCGGCCTGCAGGGCGTTGACCTCCAGGTGGTGCTTCTGCTCCATGTTGGACTTCTCCTTGTCAAACTTCTGCTCCAGGTCTCGGCGCTGGTCCTCCAGCTTGGTCTGAAGTTCTGTGGCGTGTTGGGTCATCAGCTCTGAGGCACCCATGTCCTTCTCCTAAACACATGCAATACAACAGCTGCCTGTAAAAATCTACCATATCACTATCACAATGTTGGCAATATAAGACAATCTAACAGAGACTGAAAAAAATCATGTGCCCTTGTTTTTTCATCTTTATATGCTGAACAAAATTGAACATTTTTAACAAAATTGTTATTTGTAACAAGTCAGAATCCCACCTTGAGCAGCTGAGTCCGAGTCTCTGCAATCCGGATCTCCAGGTCTTCCTTAAACTCAGCCTCCAAGCGGTCCCGTAGACCGGCCTTGTCGAGCGCAAATTTTTGCTCCATTTCGTTTTTCTCACTTTCATGTTTCTCTTGGAGCTCCACAAGGCCTTTCTCCAGCTCCGCCTTCTTCTCTTCCAACTCAGCAATCTCAAACTTGTACGCCTGCTCGATTTCTCTCCGCTCACGCTCAAACTGGTCACGCAACTCAGACACATCTGGTTAGAAGTGGAAAATGGTTATCCATAGTTATAAACAGCTGTTTTCTTCACTTTATCTGTGACACAGTGCAAAAAGCCCATGTGATTGAGCCAGAAATATTGAGTCTTCTAGAATTGTTCAAATTTCTTTGTGTAGCAGGGTCATTTATGTTAACTCTGGATCACCACATAATTCTGTCATTTACAAAACCTAATCAATTTCAGTTGAATAATCATAACAGTAAAAACTGTACACTGAGCACCATGTGGGGCAGGCAAAACAGACAACTGAACAGATAGTTGATACATGACTATTTCAAGTAACATTTCGAACACATCCAGGCATACATTTATATGTACATGTATATATATTTTGTGCATGTTATGAAAAAAGATCATGTAAATAAGACGTGATGAAGATGATGTGAATGAATAATTTGCAGTTGAGATAAGAACATTAAAATGTAGGTGTTGAAAAGGTAATGATGACACACGAAGACACTGTGACAGAAGAGACAACACATGTGCAGGCATGACACCATACTTGGTTCCTTGTCTCCCACTTACTTTCAGCATGGAGAACGCGGGAGGGGGAGTGAGCTGGTGTGAGCTGGTTGGGAGAGGCGGAAAGTCGAGAACCTGTAGGAGTAATCCGAGAGATCTACAACCGTCCAGTCTGTGGCCAGGGGTAAAGGTCAATCAGGACATGCAAGGTCATGCAGCGAGGACATGCAAATAGGGACAGCATGGATGCAGGCAAGCACAGACATGCGTTTGACAGGGCAAGGCGTCATCACATCACTGCCTACCACTGGCTTCCGGTTGGTTCCCAATAGCCAGACTTAATGTTCACTCAAGTGCCATCAAAGCCATTTCATTTATTCAGTTCATTCACAAAATCTGCAGCTTCAAGATACCAGTAAGTGTGACTCCAATGGCAGACAGTGATGAACGTGCTACAAACACACACACTGATTCATACACCTCAGACAAAGCAATGAATAGCATCAGCAGAAGAACTCAAACCTCTGCGGACAAAGCCCACTTGTGGGTACTCCACCTTCCCCAGCCCATCCTGGGGGTACCCCACCTGCACACCCACGTGGGTGTACTGCACAGGGGAGTGACCCAGGGATCCTGGTCATGCAGGGGCAGGAGAGGCAAGCATGCATGTATACAGACAGTACAGTGGTTAGTAGTCATGCAGATATAGCCATGCATTACAGTACCACAGGAGGGAAGGGCCAATAAACCTGAACATCCAACATTTTAGAAATGTTTATTGAATGCAAAACGTTTTCAATAATGTTTTCATGACCCACTCCCTGAGCAAAAACAAGCCAATTAAAATGATATTCCATCATCTACTCACACACTAAAAGTAAAAGTAAAAATTTTGGCTTCAAATTTAGAAATCCAAAATATCTTTTCAAAAGTTTGTATGGGTACTTCTGTTGCTGAGAAGAATGATCTGTCAAGTGGTCCTTCCCTCTTTATCCTCCTGGTACAAATACACATTTCAGAAATGACAGGCACAGCTGAAATCTTTAGGCAATTTAGAGACAGGACATAAATGTAGAAAGACAGCATGCAGCTAAGAGATGACACATGCACATGTATAGCTGCAGCACAGGAACATGACAGTAACATGACAGCATGGCATGCAGCAGTGACATAACTAAGACTGCTGAGGGTGTGAGGGGTTCGGGGGGACGAGCCCATACCGTCATCCTCCTGTGATGAGGTGGTGTCCCTCTTGGGAGTTGGAAGTCTTCGCTTTGTTCTTCCCGACGGGCCTTCATCAGTCTCAGACTCGTTATCTGTGATTGAAGGGTACACATGCATGTGAGCAGGAAAACACAAGTACATCAGTTTTTAAATACTGTAACAGTTGAAGTTTAAGTCCTAAGATCATTCAAGCCAAACATCTGCTCCCATAGCAAAGTGGGAAGAGTGAAAAAACCTAGCCTTACTGTGGTGCTTCAAAATGTAACAGCTAGAAGACAGATAATACAGTGTAGGACAATGGATATTGCATAAACAATTCTTTTTACAAATTTCTTGTTTTTTTTCACCACAAGTTATAACCACACATGAAGAAAGACAAATGCACATGTCCACCAGGAAAAGAGTTCCACCCAGGCACTGACCTGAGGATGTGGTGTGCTTCCCTCTCCTCCTGACCACGGTGGGTTTCTGGTAGTCTGACAGGATGGAGCCCGTACGCCCCACCTTGTCTTTGTTTCCACGACGACGGACATGTCTCCCTGTCAGCTGACTGCGCAGCTCCTCGATCTCCAGAACCAGCTCGTCATTTTTGTCTCGGAGCTCCTGTGAAGGTCAAAGGTGAAGGGCGCTTTTGACGAGTGCTGATTAAACACAACAACAATATAGGGTCTTATCTGTAGCTACACACATGTTTATAAGGACTGTCTTACAGCTGATTGTTGGTGGTAAATGATATGGAAGATTGTATTGCTTGTTTGTCCCTAGTGACCCACCCTGTTGATGGCCTCCAGGTCCTTGATGTGCTGCACAATGTCCACTTCCTGCTGCATCTTCAAGGAGTCACGACGAGATTCAATATCTGCAAACTGGACACAAAATAAAACAGAATTTCACTACAAAACCAGCCACTGGTTAGGATTTAATACAACAGTACCAGTATTGTCAAAATACTTTCACTCATGGACAAAAGATTAACACTACGTGCAAGGCTACACAAATGGCAGATTTATTTTATAGACTTGTGATAGTAGACATGTGGCAAAGTTAAAAGAAGTAAATTATCAAGAGTATAGTTGATTGAACTGACCCTGAGCTGTAGATCTGAGTAGGCCTCGTTGTCCTTGCTGAGTCTGTCGTTGGTTTTCTGCAGCTCCACCAGACGTTCTGTCATCTCCAGCAGCTCCTTCTCCAGGTCTCCTCTCTCCTGGTGGGCGATGCTGAGGAGACAGGCAGACAGACAGACATGTTGGTCACAAACATGAAAAAACAGTTCATGACAAAGTGGGACATGTAATGTGATTTCAGCAAAGATTCAACTCCTGAGGGATCCTTTTCTAAAAAAACAACAACAGTGACACGAGAGCAAGGAAAATGATTTTTAAAAATACCTAAAAAAGTAGACTATAAAAAGAAAAGACAGGATAAGTTTTTGTTTGATGATTTACACCCTTTCCTGTTACATTGAGCAGAGCAAACTAAGTAAAAAGTCTGTACCTGAGTTTTTCATGTAGCCGTTTCTGCTCCTCCAGTAGATTGTCGATCTCGTGTTCTAACTTGCCCTTCTGTTTGGCAGCCTGCTGGGTGATGAACTCCCGCTCCTTCTGGATCTCTGCCTGCAGACGCTCAATCTTCTCCTCATATCTCTTCTCTGTGGTCCTGTTGTGAACAACAAACTGCTTGTTTTACATACAAACACCTGCCCAGTTTTGCCTTCTGTGAATAAGTGACAAAACAGTGACACATACATGTAGAACATCACAGCCTCATCAGTACAGGTGTAGGTCTGACCTGAGTCTGTTCTCACTGGTCCTCTCCATCCCAGCATGCCGATCATCCACCTCCTGCACCAGCTTGTTGACGCGCAGGTTTGCCGCCTCAAGGTCACCCTGAACCTTGTCTCTCTCCTTGTAGGCTTGGTCAAGGTCAGACCTGGGGGCAAGGGAAGTCTCTGCATTACTTCACAGTTCATTATGACATGTCACAACTCTCTCTTAATAGAGAGATGGTGCAGTGTCCTTCAGTTTTACCAGGCAGCATGCACAAGACTCCAAATGTAAAATACAATGTTGCTCCTGTCATCACTACAGTTGCTTCCCTGCTATACTGGAAAATCATCTTGTGGTCATACAGTGAAGTAATGAAGATGTGCTCTAATACCTTTGTGTTGTATTGCAAGTGTTGCATTACAATGACAGCAGTGGTCATAAGGTGGGCAGAAGATTTATCTTCAACTGAAACAGTGGCTTGACAGTTCACTCTAGCATTTTATACAGACTAGACCAAGAAAAGAAATGCAATAAGGCAAGCAACACAGCATGTCACCCTGAATGCAGTACTCACTGCAGAAGCCAGGTGGTGTTACTGTTAGGAAGGGGAGGAACAGATGAGAGTGAGGCTATGGTAACTATGCTACAATGGAAAGATCTAACTTTCTACGTGATCGAGGTTGCCTACTTCATCACATCCCTGAAGCCAATGGCAAGCCATACATAATTAGTACATCCAGTTAAACAAAACATTCAGGTGTAAGTTTTCTAAATACTTAAGCAAATAGAATTTTTGGAAAACATCTGACTGTGACTGTAGGTATCTGATATAGCTATGTTTTCCTATTGCAGCTACCTGAAGACATTTGTTCCTATAATCTAGGACACTTACTTGAGATGCCTGATCTCGCTCCTGTAGGATGTCAGTGCAGCATGGTATACCTTGTTGTCATCAGGAATGGCATAGAGCTCATGTTCTAACTCCATACTCAGCTCTGTAATGTTAACCTTTCCTCCCAGCTCAAACCCAAGATCCTATCAACAGTAGACATAACATAATGGTTAGCTAGTCTGGGAAACACTGTTATCCCTTGCATTAAACCCCAAGTTGGCAAAGGCAGGGCTGTAGTTTATTGAAAATATCTGAGCAGTATTGAGGGACCAGCCCATCACAGACTCACCTCCAGCACCTCCATGGGACTCTGTATGCCCTCCTCCTGCCACAGGTTCACTATCTCTTCTGCCTGAACATACCTGGGCGAGGGGTGGATATAGAGTTCTTTCGTTTAACTGTCTTACCCCAAACAGCATCAGAGAAATAACCACAACAATTTCAATAGATAACCAGGATTCTTGGACAGGGTGCAAGAGACACAACGAGACTTGAAGGACTGAAAATACAGTACCCTTAAACTTTAGAAAAGAATGATTGAATTTGTGAACTATGCAGTCTGAAGCCGTACCCAGTTCCTTCTGAGTCCAGTGCAGAGAACAGGTTGATGCCGACCAGCGGCGTGGCGACTCTGGCCAGCGACTCGTCCAAGGTCATGCTCCGTGCCAGTCTGCGCCTCTCTGCAGCCATCAGACCCCGTGTGGGGGAGGGGGTCGGGGAAGGGGAGGAGCTGTACTTAAAGAGCCCGTTCAGGAGCTCCTGGAGGCTGATCTTCCCATCCCCATCCTTGTCCAGAGTCTGGAACAGGTGGGACAGCTCCTGGAGAAACACATGTACAGATTGATGGGTGATTTACAAAATAATTAATGATAAAGAACAAAGTAGTTGACTAATCATAGAGGATAGCATCTTTGTCCCCAACCTTGTAGTGAATCTAAGATATGACAGTAAGTATCTTGGTAACACTCATACCTCAAAAACAATTGACACCTATTGTCATACCACAATACAATTGACAAACTACACCAGCCCATAACAGGTCTGTATAACATGTACATGTATTTCAACACACTCTATCTCCCACACTATTCACTAATAAGTACTAGTAGTCAATTGATTCCTATAAGGGAAGGTACAGGATGGCTGCACACCTCATCGTTCATCTCGTCCAGTCCGATGTGTTTACAGACCAGGTCCAGTTCTGCCTTGTTGAGGAAGCCGCTGTGCCCCACGCCCAGCTCCTCCCAGATCTGCCGGATCTCCTCCTGTCTGTCCTCATCTGTGGGGCTCATCATCGCCCCTCGTGACGGGGTGTACGCATCGTCCATGGTGCCGGTCTTAAGCAGACCTGGGAAGGGCAGGGTTAGGATTGACATGTTCAACAACAATCTTCCCTAAAAAACTGTGGGATCTGCGATGACCATCCAACAAGAGAGAAAATATGAACAGGTGCTAAAATCCTTGTAGTTGTCATGATGTCATTACTACCAGTCATTGCTAAGGAAAATCGGTTCTTTTGTGGTGTAGTAGACAAATTCTACACACACTCACCTGTCCCCTCAGCCTCGAATGTTCTCTCGTGTTCCTTGTCACTGTCTCCAGTAGAGGGCGGCTTCTTTTTACCGTCGTCAGACTCAAGGCTCTGTACATGGAGTAGGAAGTTTCATAGTTTTAAACTACGTAAACATCAGAACAACAAACCATTGTATACACTAGTAAATTGCAAGAATTTCACACATGTATGCACGCTTATTCACAAAAATCAGTAAAGCAGTAACTGATAGCAATAATTGAGCATCCACTGATAAACATGAAATACGTTCTCATGGGAAGTAAAGACTAAGCTATTATTCTAATACAACCACGGTCCTGACTGGAATTCAATTTAACACAAACTTAAGTTATCTGAAACCTTCTGACCTTCTAACAGTATGTCCTACCTCAATCTATTCATTGCCAACTTAACACACCAGTAATACCCACTTGTATACTGGCCATAGAAGATGTCCTTTCTCGTAGAGTGGTACGCCTCTCCTCCCGGACTTTCTTGGCAGGAGTTGGGTGGCTTTCTGAGCGCGAAACGTCGTCCTCTGAGTCTAGAAAGTCAGGCTTGGAACGGCGGCCATATTTTTTCTTTCCCTTGACATACTTAGGTTCCACCTCCTCTGGTACTGTTAGTGTTAGAAGAATTTGAAACATAAGTCAGGCAGTTTGGAAAAAAAAACATGTACGACATACCTGCTGCTGCACACAAATGTACTCACATTTAAACAAGTTTGTGTGGACCAGGGTGTGACAGAACCAACACCAATGTGGAATTTGCAGACAAAACATGCAAATTACATGCACAAATACCTGTAATTTTGCAGACCCAGTCGAGGGTGTTACGATGGTGACATCAATTATCTTTGAGTGAAATTCTACTGTGATGATGATACTGTTGTAAATGTTGAAATACATGTACTACTACTATACCAAGAGGCCATTGCAGATTTCAAAATAAAAACTGCAACTGCTGAATTATTTCTGCTTTGATATTTTTGACTAACACTAAAGAGACTCTATTATTCAGCCCTGCTACTAAATTGTTAATCATTTTATCACTCTGACGGATCTGTGCTATAATTCTATCCAACAGACTGGTTTATTGTAAGGTTATGGGAAAGACAGGTGCAGCCTTTGATATGTCAGCATGCATTAGTTGTGTGGTACAATAGCAGGTGTTCCAGTCATTCATCACATCATTTATACTGTTTACATTTGGTCCTGTCAGCTTAACATTCATGTACTAGTAACTAATAATTATGTTTTCATATACAACACAGTTCACCACAAGAATGGAAGATACCAGTACATCATATTAAAGAGGACTATAACACAAGGGTCTGCATGACTCTGAAATATTAACAGCATGCATGTTTCCTTGGTCTTGAACATGACATTTCATGGCATCAATTTCTATTGCTGTAAAGTAACATTTAATACTATTCCATTGTGAGTTATAGCAAGAATAGTAAATAACACACTGTCACAGTACGTCAATAATATGCACACCATAATATAATGGATATTACTCCCCTATGACTGACCCCTGCATGGCCCGTAATACTATTATGCTATAATACATTATGCTTTTTTTAAAATTCTGCCCTCCCCATATTTGATTAATTCTTACTCTGTCCAAATCATTTCTATTGTTCATGATCACAAACAATAATATATGTCCTGAGCATAAAGAGCATTAGTCCATATGGAAAGATGGAAAGCAACAGCACTGCTCAAAAAGGTGGCAATCAAGCTCGAAATTATGTGTGCAAGCTAGTTCGTAGCAGCAAAGCTTAAATTCCACGAAAATTCGCAGGAAGCAGAAAATTCCCAGGAAGCAGCTCCTACACCACTAGCCTACCTTGGGAGGGATAATGTACCAGCTGGGGAACTTCTTTAGCGCCTAAAATAATAAACACCTCCTAATGCAAGGCCAGCAGCATACACAAAGGGCACACACTGGGTAAAAATCAATACAACAAACAGCAGACAAGGGTATGGAAGTCACCTATGGCTGCCCCATCGCTTGGCCCAAACAGTGGCCATGCAAGAAGGGGTACCCAATACAGAGTTCCAAATTCTATACTTTCTTTCCATTTTTGAGTTATCACCTTTTATGTATGTCTATATTGTCAGAATCTGATCACAGCAGCTGCCATATAAAAAGTACAGTACGTGTAAAATACCAGAATGGTGCTTTTCATGGAGCCTCTGTAACCCCCAGTAGAGCCCCAAATTGGAAAGCTGGCAGTGATGAGGCCCAGATGTGGAAAGTGGGTTGATTACATTACACTAATTTACAGGACATAGGGGGACCTGCAAGCCCTCTTCTGCATACTGTAAATTTTAAAATGTTCTCAGTGGTTTTATTTTTGCAGTTTTTGCTGTCAAACTCTCTATCTACTATAAACGACACCAGAAATATGCATTTTTATTTTATTAGTACAATATTATGAAGACCGTTTAGCCCCAACCACAAAACATCGCTTTCCCCTACTGCTGCCATGTAATTACAAACACAGTAAAGCATAGCCAATCTGCTCACACCAAGCATAAATATGTAGCCTTGCTGAATAAAGAATTATCAGGACCAACCATGGGCATTATGGGAACCATATTCTGTGTGCTACATGTATATTTAAAAAGTTAATAATCACTCAAGTGACTACAGTGTTTCTATGACTAAAAAATAAGATGCCATTTTCCCATTGCAAGACAAAATATCTATAACGTATTTAAGGAACAATCCTCTGTTGGAGACTAGGGCAGGTGTCAGTTATCATTACAAAAATGCTGCTATACTATTGTGTTATGTACGAAATCAAGTTTAATAGCTTAAAATGATAGCTTCAATACATAGTAATAAACCTTCAGCACTAAGGTGCCTGATACTATTAGTATATAGCTTGCCAGCAGCACAAATCTCAAGGTTAAACTGAAGGTCACTGACATTTCCAGCAGTAATGCCTGCAGCTGTTGGTAACAGATGTGCTGTCCTAAGTGTGAAGTATTGACTAACAGTCTAACAGAGCAGCTTAATCTGTGATCACTGATAATACCTTGCTAAGCAGAAATAGATGGATGTCAAGAGTAAAAAAAACATTACAAAATACATGGATGTAGATATTAAACCTTTTTGGCTTGCAGGCCCTCTTATGAATTTTTGGGAGGTATCAAAAATAGTTTTTAGAGCTAAGTATGGATTTTGATCTTCTTTCTACTCATTTAAAAAAAATGGTTTGCTTACAATGTTGCTACAATGGTTGCTGAATATATAATTGATAACCGCCTCACTTACCGATGTCCTCGATGAGACTGAAGTCCTCTTCAGTAGTGTCCAGTTCATCCACAGAGTGAGACAGCACGGCAACAAACCCCTCCTTAAACTCATCAAAGCTGACCTGGGAAAGGAATCATCAGATGAATATGGAGTGTTCATACTTTCAATGCATTCAACAAAATTCCTGTTAACAAATAAATCCTGACATCTGCATCAGTTCTAAAATATAAGTTATTCAAAAAATTGATGTTGACGAAAGTGACTTCTTTTATCACCCAGGTGAACAGCATCTTGTAACATTACATGCAATTGTAATGTACTGTAAGTTGTACTCTGCACATACAATTTGTACAGGAATTAGTTCTATTTCTGACAAAGTAAATCATATTTTTACATAGATTTTAAGAATTGCCAAAGATCTTATCAACATTGGCTAACTAAGAAAGGCAACACCATGCTAAAATGCCCAGTTCCCTAAAATTACCCTGTTATTTGGGTCCTTGCCCAGCAGTTGTTTGGTGAGGTTGTCTGCCTGGTCATCCAGCTGCAGGCGGTGGCACAGCTCCCGTAACTCCGCCCTGTCCAGGTAACCAGTACCGGTGGTGTCACAGCTGTCAAACACCTCCTTCAGCTGGGCTACATACACATCCTGCTCACCCTCATCCATAATGTGTTATCTGGAAAGGTAAGATAAGGTCAAGATTTGCTGGCTGTCTTCCCAGAATTGTAACTATCTAATCAAAGATATCACAATTTAATACTAGGGGAATGCAATAATTTCCACACATATTTTGGATCCATTCCAGATTTGGACTGGAGCAATTGTGTTCAAACTCGTACAATGTTTGTCACATAGGTACAGGTCACCAGTACAACAAACACTGGTACAGCAAATAAAACTATTCTGAAGGATATGGCTATCTAACTCTCCTTATATACAGAAATGGCAAGAACAGACATTTTTCTACCAGCTTACCTACAGAGGTCTGGTTTAAGAGTAATAGAAGAGCACAGCTGCTACAAACTTACATGGAGCCTGCTACTTCACAATTAAACCTCCGTGGGGTTTCCACTTCAAGTCTATTTCGAGTAGCACACGTGCCCCACACTGGGAGGTTACTTTCCTTAGAGTGGCTTTGAAAGTTTCTCAGCCATGTCTTAGGAAGAAAGACACTGCTACAAGTGAGTAGGTCTGAATGTGGAACTGAGAGGACCCAGGGGGAGGACGTGAGGGTCTAAGGGCCAGCAGGATTACATACAGGTACAAAGGGAAGGTCTGGATCAGGTGTCACACCTGCAATAATCAGGGAACACCTGAACAACCTGGATGGTAGGAATATTAGGTTATACCATCTAAACACCTTGTGTGTGCTTCCATGCTAAAAAACATTTAACGTTACTGAGTGTGATACACTGGTAAATTATATCAATATTCTTTCTAGCTTTAGAATGAATCAAAGAAAACAGTGATATATTTGCCATGGGTGTAACCAACTTTATATAGACTGTTATGGTGATTCAGGTATGTAAGATGGAGTGAGTCCAACTGAGGCTGTGAGTGTAAACAAAACCATACTCGAGGGTTCTACATAAATGGATGATTGGTATTGGAAAGGTTATCAACATAAAACATTTTGCCATGCCATTATCACCTGTCAAGCATATAACGTTACAGTGGACTTATCTCATGAATATTCATGAGGCTGACAACACAGGATGACATGATACTCTCCGGGGAGATTACCAGATGATAACCTTTGTATTCACATGAAATATCAACCTGTAAAAAATTAATACCTGTTTTCCTTCCCTGCACTTCATATATTCTCACGCGCATAAGCCCATCTACACTACAGGAAAGAGCTTACACATACGTAATATCTTCAAAATGAGTTTGTAACAAATTAACATGTTACCATATATTAGTATGAAGTTTCAAAGCTTGCATTGTTATGTTACACAAGGTGTGGTTTGTTGATATAGTGGTATTGAATATTTCATAACTAGTCCCTGCAGACCTTTGCCCGTACCTGTCACACACTGGACAGGTGACTCACCTGTTTGTTTACAATCAGTGTTATATATTACCGCCGGCTGCAAACAGGTGTGATGACGCTAACGTTCAAAACATGAGCCCTAACGTTACCACTCAAGAACGATTCAACTACAAATTGCAGATCTATGCGGCCCCGCTTGACATGAAAACCTTTTCTACAGACAACCCTTCACAAAGAGCGCTTCACAAACTAACGCTAACCAGCTTGTCAGCGTCAAAATGCCAGCTCAGTGAACCGTGAGGCCAGTTTCTTTCGCCTGAAATCACAGCTGTAGAAAAGACTGGCCCTAGATAACCAAGACTTCAAACTTCGACATGAACTGAAGCCTGGAAACCTGTGAAGAACGAAAACGGTAAAAACTCACAATCCACGACACCAGAAAAAGTAAGCAGCAGCAAAGTTTGCGAGGGAGGGGGGCAAATTCTTACACCGGACCCGCAAGGCATGTTTCTACCGACGCTATCTCCTGAGAAACGTACCTTTTCATGGTCTCAGAAGGCAAGAAATCTGTGCCAGTCCCCCCTAGGATACGGGCACAAGGGGTTGAGACCCCAGGTCTTGTACAGAGGAGGTAGCACAGCCCTGTGGAGTAACTTGTTGGCCGTACACGGCGGTGAGGTGTTGGCTGCACGGAGTTTCCAGCTGCAGGATTTCAAGCTGAGGACGCCGTACCGCATCTAGACGTAAATAAGCATGTCAAAGTACAATGTTGCCCCGAAAAAGAAATTTAAGTAAGAGGGACTAAAAAATGTTAAAATACATATTAGCGTACATAAAATCACAAGTAGCATTTCTATGAATTCTAATGCGTGTAAAAGGAAGTTTTTTTTACGTGTAGATGTGTATCAGGCTTAGCGAGCTTGGCGGTCCTAGCGACCAGGTGGAAGACACGCCTAACGACAAAAGTTGATAGCATTTTTCGACGTTTGAATCGACCAAGCCCCACAAACATTTTCAACACAGTGTGTCAACACACAAAAGAAATAATTGTGGTAAAAATATGCGATTCAAATTTTCTGTACAGTATACAGATGAAATTACTGTGCATGATATAACAGTATATGACAAAAGCAATTAAAAACCAAGTGCGCCCTCGATGAAAATGCAAAGGTCGATCCAATGACCTGTCCTTTTATTAGAACTGAACTAAATTGTTTCACTGCATTATAATGAGTAAGTTGAGTAAAGGCGTTATCATCAAATAACAAGTTACTAGTATCACGTAATGCTACAGTGAATTTGCCCTTGGGTGAAACAGGCCCGTATGTAACGTTATTTATGACGTCCTCACAATGGATGAAATTATCAATATTTCATGTGATATTCGAAAAGGTGTGATTGTGATTTTCATATTTTGTGTAGTAAGTGATCAGATTGCCATTGGCGAAGTGAGGCAATATTCCTGAATTCGACGACGATGATGACGACGACGATGATGATGATGATGAAGAAGACCACGAGAAAAACTCCCTTTGTAACTACATCTGCGATAGCTGCGACGTAAGCTATTTGTGTTTTTCTAAAAAATCCTTGAGCATCTCCTTGTTGGCTTTTGAAATAAAGAATTGAATTGTAATTATGATAAAAAAACGTGCTAGTCTATATTTTTAGTTTTTTTGTCATGAGTCTGACCGGGACTGGGGTCGGCACATGAATCCTGTGCGAAAATCAGAAAGGCGCCTCAATAACCTCCAATAACACTACTATTTATTAGACTAAATTAGATATTGCTATTCGTTATCTTTGTATAGAACCGCACAGCATTTGAGGTATGAACCGTTTTTCTCAAACTGTCCTGTCGGGGCTCGTAACTTTGGCTTTCACCTTAGACCGGGGTTGTGTGGAATGATAACCTCGTTGAAAGATGGGTCAATCCGTCACCACCCAAAGATGAGAGGACCCGGCCACTGCGGCTGCCTGTAAATCGAGAAGTCCCCGTGTCCCATAAAGCGAAAGTGACCCCCACTGGTGACTGTTATCACGTCAGCCCTGCTGGTGACGTCGCGCAACAGTGCAGGCCTGCCACATTCCCGCGATGCCGGGACATCGGATCGCCTTCCGAACGGAGAGTTGGTTCGGCCCACATCCCATAATTGGCAAACCTTGCGCTCAGAATAGTTTCCCATCGCTCTCCGGGCGAGCACCAGCATACTTGCCCTCTAAAATCAGTGGACATCAAGTCGTGGACGTCGGGCAAAGGCAGCTTCTACCATCGGAAAAACCATCTATGTAAGGAAGTGTTTTCCGTCAAGTAGTCCTACAACAACCGAGGGAACTTCTACTCAAGGCGTGCGTCGTGCGTCCGTGAGGATCGGTGCAACCGGAGGACGACAAGGGACAGGCATTTCTCCTCCCACCCTCCGACATTTTGGGGTGTGCAGTTAACTGAGTGAACAACTTGTGACCAGCAAACATGAAGCTCAGATTAAGGCACCTGTTGCTGCTCCTCCTGGGATTCCTCCTGGTGGTACCTGAAGGCATGGGTGTCAGAGCGCAGGATGATGATGACGATGACGATGACGACGATGATGATGATATTGACAACGACGATGACGGGGATGATGATGATGATGAAGATGAAGATGATGACGATGATGATGATGGTATAGATGACGACGACGATGATGATGAAGACGATGATGATGATGATGATGAAGATAATGACGATGATGATGACGATGACGACGAAGCTGCTGATGCTGACGACGATGATGCTGACGACGATGATGATGATGACGATGATGATGATGATGACGACGATGAAGAGGACCACGAGAAAAACTCCCTTTGTAACTACATCTGCGATAGCTGCGACGTAAGCTATTTATTTGTGCTTTTCTTCTTTCCTCGAGCATCCTCCTTGTTGGCTTTTGAAATAAAAGAAACGTGCTAGTCTGTATTTAAAGTTTAGTTTTTTGTTGAAGCGGTGCCCCCAAGTTTTCTTTATATGGGTCAACAAAGCTCTTTTTATTTTATCACAAACAAATCATCTGTAGTATGTCAAAAACAATCTAGTATAAGTACATTTATAAGAAGTTTTCATTTCTTTTTTTATTGGATAATTACATGATATGCACGTGCCGAAATGATAAGCACTAACAAGCATAAATGCCCAAGCCAAAGTTTTATCAAATAATTCTTCCTTTTGCACATCATAGCAAATCAATGTATTTCTCTTGTATGACATGTTGATAAGGCCGTTGCCTGAGCGTGTATGGCACATACATTGTTAAAATTGCAAATGTTAGAAGGCGTTTCCAATAACGCGAGTGTAGCTCTATGTAGCGCATATAGCACAGATCTCGAGGTTACTGTCCTAGTTCGTACGTCTGGCAGCCAGAGTAGAGACCACGCCCACCCTGTGTCACTTGCCCTGTGGCTGTTCTTCTTTCCACATATGGATACGTCAGAACGCGGGATTGCAATGTTCCTAACTTACTACATCAAATGAACGACGCTTCCCTAACCATGCAGGTCAATAGACTGAAAGACCTTATCTTGAATAATGGTCTAGCAAATAATGATTCGGGCTGTCCAACAAATATACCACCGTTTATACACATACGGTCGGCATATGCTACCATGACTGCTGAGGGTCTATAGCTATATTTGACTTTGAAAGTGATACCCAGACACTAGTGGTGACTCTGACCCCTTTAGCTGAGAGGCACACCAAAGTATTTGAATGGGAAATGAAACACGCAATAGTAGTGAAAAGTATTAGATTCAACTTTGCTGAGTTAGGCCAATATTGGCCATCTGTCTTTTGGTACATCCATACTGGGCTAGACCATCCAGTGAATTATACATATAAACCAAGAACAAATGGTTGTTCTTTTAAATCCTTTCAGTTCTGTGAATTCTGCGATAGATGTCCGTGCCGAATCAACGACGAGGAAGACTACTGTGACAAGTGCAAGGTATGTTTCTTAGTGATCATTTGAAGTAGCCTCCAGAGGATTTGCCAAGGGCTTGGGGAACAGTGCATATCAGTGCATATTTCATATTTGAGCGACACCATGACCTGTTAAGATAGTCCACATTACAGACATCGTCTGAGAGACCGTCTGTATGTTGAAGCTGTTCTGCTCGACGCTGATTCCTCGTGAAACCATACACGGTACGGGACAGGTGCAGGAGGGCGAGATGGAAACACACAGAAGTTATGCTCACGTTGATGCCGCGGTCCCGCAAAGTAGGCCAGTAGGGCTGTCCCGTCAATACAAGCATGACCGTATGCCAGGGCTGGATATTTATAGCTCTATAAAGGGCAGGCACCCATGGCGCGCATATATCAGACGGAAGCACGAAGCGCGGCCTTGGTATATTTTCAGTTCATAGAAGACATAGAAAGAATGAGCCAAATATCAGGCAGTGGGGAACACGAATCATTTAAATCTTAGCGATAGTGTTTTACTGCCATTCGTGATTATGGGGATGCACCATTCTTCATTTCTTGTCAGTTTCTGGACATTGTTTACTCCATTTCGTCTGAAGTCTGAATATACTGGGAAGATGTTACTGATGCACTGGCTGTGCCAAATCCCACAAGATACGTGCAATTTGGGACGAAAATTAGAAACGAATTAACAGGTCTCTGGATTATAACTGAGCTGTATTTGCACTGATGTACAACTTGGACAATGAACTAGCCTCCACTATGCATTCCTGATAGCAGCAGAAATAATTCGCCAGGAGAATTAGTGCGCGGGCAATTGAACTCTACGGTGGCCAATTATCCCTATTTGCACTTGGCTAAATTTTACTGTTTTTGAACCAGCGTTGTTAGGATGGATTAACAATACACAATCTGCCGCAAAAAGTGTTTCATATTTTTTGTACACGTTTATCATGATCGGATTGATCCGCTCCATTTTCCGTTGCAGTTCTGCAGATTCTGTGGCGTCTGTGACACCTTCTGTGAGAGCTACGGGTGCACGCCGGGCTCATTCCTGGACAAGTTCACATCCACTGTCTTCGAGTAAGTCTAGATTTCACCAATCAGAACGTCAAACTGCTGACACCTGTGTACAATGAAAAGCTATTGGCTTTACGTCACAGTAGTTGACTAGATATATGTATTTTACAAACAATAGTGTAAAACCACCAACAATGTATCAATGACCGTTTCAAAGCGGTTGTTAGTAATGTTACGCTGAGGTCACATTTCCAAACCGGGGCCCGGCCGGGCTGCTTCGATTAACGAGAATTGAAATCAATAATTTACATCAATACTATACACAAAGAGTAAAAATTCTTAATTTTGTCGCATTTTTTTTTTGTGCTTTGTTGTCTTTTATATCATACTTTTCGTTTCATAAGGCTGCCAGGCCGGGCCCCGTTTTGGAAATGTGACCCCAGCATTAGCATTTGGATAGGTCATATGACAAAATGACCCATGGTGCCTCCAAAGTTTAAAGTCTTACTGATCACCTTTTTTTCTTACAGAAAAATTGACAAGCACATCGTCGACCTTGATGATGATGATGATGATGACGATGATGATGATGACGACGACGATGATGACGACGATGATGATGACGATGATGATAAAGATGAGCTATAGAAAAGTCTTTACATCAAAACTTTGGAGATTTATTTCAAACAAATACCAAGAACCTTGGTCCAGGTGACACTACAGGAACAAGTGTTGGGAACATCTTGATGTCATTTACACCAATCTGAGACTCAAATGACTTATTGGGGCTGGCGAAATCTAATCGTACAAGCCAGCATATCCGAGGGGAACCCATTCGTTGAAGAAAGCTTTGGAAAATTTACAAATACAGTTCGAAATTGCCCAACCACAGACCTTTATCATACCCAGTTACCCACTTCACGTAAGAATCTACCATTCATGGCAGTTCCGACGTCTATCAGGAAGACTTCATGATGTAAACATTTTGAGTTCAAGTCAGCATCTTCCTGAAAAAGTATGCAATGCTTAGTACTTAACTGGCTAAATACATCAAAGTATACTAGCAATACAAGCTGAACTAAAAGGCTGTTGATTGTACTCCTCTTTTGCTTGAATTTTCCATCACAGACAGACCTGCTTGATGTGAATCTCAGGGCGACTTACAGGTACATTTGTATTACGTTAGAATGGCAACAACACTTTAAGTCACATATAGCATGGTTGCGTGTTAGTAAGGCCAGTAACTTTATAGGTAATGTGTATGAATTTGTCAGTGTTGGTAAAGGTTCACTGCATGCTGCAGAGCAGTTCAACACTGTAGTAGATTCTGAAAGAAATTGAGGCACTGACTTCTCTTTGAAACATGTTTCTGGAGGCAGTATTTCTGTACATTTTGGTGCTACTGGTAACTTGACTAAATGTGGGTTGTTTATTTTTGGTGTGAATAAATGGCACTTTGTACAACTTTGCACTGTATGTTTTATTGTATCTGTAATTTCCCAAGCCCAGGTATGTTCGGGAGTCTGGAAAGTTTTACTTTATTCTAACATGAAGAAATCACCATGCAATATTTAATCATTGCTGGAGAACACAGTCCAACAGAATAGTTGGGTCATTAGATACTATCAAAATAGCAATAAACAGGCATCACACAATATTATAAATCTGTACAACTTTATTGGACATTGCACCACATTGTTGTATACATGTACATAAATGAAAGTATGAATTTAGTTTTGTATTAAGTATGGCTATTGCAAAAAAAAGAAAAGAAATACTGTTATCAAATGTTTCCCATATCAAAATGTTATGACCAAGGAGTATGCTGTGAATTACATATTTATGAAACATGTACATTTGTAGCAGATACACATGAATGATATGGGACTAACAGAACCATTATGTTAATAAGTTAGATGTAGCATTGGCCATTCAAATGTTTCCCTCTATGTAGCAAATATGCAATACATCCTTACAATTGCGTATGGAGAAATATTCTGTAACCTAAAGGGAAATCTACAAGGAGATGAAAATATTCAGCTTTAGTCAAGCCAACTGAGGTTTATCTGCACCTGACAGAATAAGGGGTGGGGAGGAACTACATTGCTGCCACCCTTTGATATGTTACAGAACTGCAGCATTCTTTACCATAAGAACACATTCCTCAGTTAGAAGTACAGTACCTGAATCAGTGTATAGAAAACGTCCTGAAATACCACACATTTGGCACCATGGTACATCCTGTACTGTACACTACCTTTGGTATTATTGAACTTAAGCTGTCTCAAAGACAATACCAGACCTGAGTCTGGGAAGACAAGTTACATGGCACAATGTGAGTAGACTATTAAGGCTGGGCATATATTGCCTATACATGTATTATGTCTATGGTCTAACCTACAACTCCAGTCAGACATCACGTCTGTTCTACATGCTGATCTCTACCAAGGAGATTATTTGACTGGCCTTACCAGTAATTTCTTTGGTTCTTTGGGCCACATCATATAAAGAAATCACACCCAAAACATTCATGGTGAATCAGTAAATGACTGAGATACAGCATATATGACATATCTAATGATGGGCATAAAGTGAAATACAAAATCACAGATATGAAAGAACTTAGAACCATGAAAACCTATTGGTGTGTTCAATTACATTAAAAAGCTCTGCTTTAAAAGAAACTTCTCCTCGAGCTCCTGGTGTGACTTTACAAATGTCATATCCATGTACAACATTGATTTACATGGTGTATTTACAAAGCTGATACAGATAAAAATGTACAAAGTGTTAAATGAAGGAATCATTAAATATATCTTAATGGTTTAACAATGATGTATATGCATGAATAAAACATGTTAAAATGCACATTCTACATAATGAACTGTGTAAAATATGCTACTTACACATCTAGACTACTTCCTATGATAAAAGTACAAATAAAAGCCCTTGGCAACCGCACATGAAATTATCACATCTACCACTTGGTAGAACAAACATAAGATCATGTATTCTCAGTCATACACTTTCTTTCATTCTAAAACAATTATTCATCATTCCCAAACTTTCCAACTTTCCATTACTTAATGCCTTAGTCCTTCATCAGGCCATACCAATCTTGTCACTTGATTTTCAGACTGAAGAAAAAAAAAAAACGAAGGAGATGTTGTGTGGCACAAATGTGGTAAACACGTCACTTTCCCTCAATCACTCCAGGCTTTCTTCCTTTATTTCTCCAAGCTGACGGTCTGGGTACCAGTCTGCTCATTGTCTCTCTACAATGCTGGGATGTAGTGAGACAGGGAGCAGACCACAGCTAACATGGAAGGAAACCCAGACTACTACACCATCTTGTGGAATCTTCCACTAAAACTGCCCAGCAGCCAGCATTCCCAGCTTTCCCTCCCTTCAACAGTTCCACCTTTCCTTAACTCCTCACATTCAAAATGTAGAAATACCTTCCATAATACAACATCCTATCCTTTCATAACAACATTTTTGCACCACAAATAATTTTGTAACCAAAACAAACTACGTCTGATGTAACTGCCTTTACTACGTTTCTTCTTCTGGTTTGCTTTGGTACACAGGTCTCACAATGCTGTGTAGCAAATACATGTTAATTATTGCAACAAGTGCAGCTTGCTCAAGGCAGTCACTTCCTTCTGAACATTGTAAGGGTACTGTGTCTTGATGGACCTTACCAATAGCTACTGCTGTCTTCCTATAGGTACTTATTTCCTTGCTAACAGAACTAGACATGGTACAACTTGATATATTGAGTGGCAGAAAGAGGCAAGCTGACACTGTTGTCTCAGAAATTGTAGCAGGAATAATGCTGGTATGACTTGATACCCTATGACTGTATGAGTCAGTGCTGGTATGCCTGCTTGTCTGTAATACCAAACCAGTGGTGTGAACCAGGGACACCCTGACCTTGGCACTGCCTGCAGGGATTACATCATGTCCAAACTTCTCACTTCCCAGTTCTCTGTTCAACAAATGGTAGTATTTCTGGTTCGTAATTTACCAACCCTACTTAGACCTATTTATAATCATATCTAACGTTTGAATTGTAAGAAAAACCTACAAACTGGCAGTTTTTAGTTTGTTATGTTGTCCTTTATGTCTATCTTGTCTTTGTTGCTGAACAACTGATATGGATGTCAACCATAGTTAACAACTTGCAGACAGCTATGTCAAATGATGTACTCTGTATATTCCATAGGACAATGTTGTGTATGATGTCAAAAATGTGTGTCACAGAACTCAGATTTCTTGTTCACCACCAGGGTAACGTCATACCAGAGTCTGGCTTGATGTATCTGATCAGATGAGTCTGGAGTTCTTGAGGTATTGTATGAGAACTGAGTAGACAAACTTGTACTGGGCCAGCATGGGAACTGTCATCATGCGCTGGTCCCGCAGGCTGGTCAGGGCAGTCGGCACGTCTAGGTCCTGCAAACAACCACGGGACAGTCAGGGAAGAACAAGGTTGGTAACACGGCTGTTTTAGCACAGACATGCAGGGTAGTAAGGAATCACAACACACTATCTCCTTGCGGTCTACTGAATTTGACAAGAGAAAGAGGAGAAGGCCTTCCTGTGTTTAATTACCAACAGACTGATATAAGATTATAGGTACCATTGTTGTAAAATTTTAGGATGCCTCAAAATACAGATGAAAAGCCAGTTGGTGAGAGAAGTCCGCATACCTTGTTGTGCTCCAATGTCCTGATCATCACCTCCGACAATATGTGCACCCCTGTCCTGCCAACGCCATTCCCACAATGCACCAGAAGCGGGGGCTCCCGTTCCAATGGCATGTCATAGGCCAGTCTCTTCACCGACTGGACTTCTTCAAGGAAGCCTGCAACACAACGTAATAGTTCAATCTCTTTCTTGCATAGATATACTTCCCTAATAAATGGACCTGTGCAAGATATAGGTAGACATGAAGAGAGGATAATTAGCTTCTTGTACTTCCACAGGCCACTTGTATGTGTTGGTACAGTAATGATACGGTATCTAAGTTCCACACTAAAATACATTTCATTGCCATGCCACATTTACAGTAACAAGGATTAGTAGTTATTGTTCCTTGTTGTTTTTGGTTACACTTTCTTTTCCATTAGAAAAAGGACCATCAATTACTGAGTAGAGCCTATCCATGCACATACTGTAATCATCTACTAGTTGTCTATATTAAATAGTAAGACTACAATGACTTACATAGGAAATCTTGCACATTCTGGGGGCACCCGTGTTCTGGCCATGCCAGGAACTGTAGATGCCAGAGAGTGCGTGTCTGTCCTGACGGCGTGTGTTTGACAGACATCCCCCGCGTGGCGTACGGACCAGACACACTGCTGAACCTCAGGGTCACCTCCACATCCCCAAACCTGCACGTCTGTGTCGGCTCTGTCGGCCAGTATTGGTAGGACTTCTCCTTCTCTCCCTCCTGGTGAGAAAGGAAGGTGGCTTCAACAATTCGATTTCTCCAGAAACAATTCATTATTACATGTAGTTATAACTTCCAGTTACTATGATGTAACAAGATTGAAGGTTGGAAGTTCCATCCCAATCAGAGACTCTGTTATGAAATTCTGTTGAAAACAATTTAAATTCAAAACCTTGTGCATTGTAGATTGTATAAGGTACTACAACTGTCCACACCTTTGTAAGAGACAGCATGGCAATGATGAGCACCTCCTGGTCCCACACCATCCTCCAGAAGTCCTCTGTGGTGTTCTCCATGGGCCCCTGGGCAGCAAGGTACTTCAACTCTGACTCTCCAACCTGCATCTAGAAACAACAACAACAATGACATGTCATTAAGATCCATCAACTTGGGTTTTACATGTTATGGAAAAAATATATTGACAAAATAAACCACTTGCTTCACATAGAATACTAGTAAATATGAATAAATATTAGCATATGCACCAGTACCAAGTGCTGTGTGCAGCTGTTTCTCTATTCATTCTCTAAAAATGATTCAGTAATGGGGTCACTACCAGTTAGTCTATACTGATGAGTGCATGATAAATAGGAAAGAGGAGGCTGATCAGCAAACCTTGATATGTGAGGCATTGATGTATCCTGCAGGATTCCCCTGGGTGGGTATCAACCTGACTCTGGACTCCTGTCAAGTACAGAGAACAACATACATTAACACTTATCAGCATCACAGCATCAACTACAAATTGACAGAGGTTGAAAATGTGACTCCATTTGCTGTGTCATTTTCTGTGTCAGCATTTCTGTGTAATTTTTTTTCTTCCTACTTAAAAAAATGTTTGCCATTATCTACTATTTTACAATCACCATTAAGCCATGAGGCTTTGATTGGTTCCCACAGTTTTTACCTACCTCATATGGCAGGATGTCCTTGAAGCGGTTCCTGGCCTGGTTGTCTGGTTTCTGCGCGGTCATGAAGATGGCTGGTTCCTTCTTCTTATGGACTTTGGAGAACTCTGTGAACACAACTCCATCCTCGGCACACTCCTCTAGCCTTTGTATCTACATTAATGAAAGTGTTTTAGTATAACATACTAGACTGTAGGATTACAGAGAGTCAAAACATGCATAACGACCAATATGAACATACAAAAAGTAAGATGTATCAACCAATGTAATAGTTACATCTGACAAGCTAACATTGACAACTCACTCTCTCATCCCGTGGGGTCCTTCCTGACCCCCTTTTTGCTGGCACGGGGAAGGGTTGCGATGGTCAGCCCGTTCATGGCTGCCAACTTCAGAGGGCCTATCTTCCTCATGTCGTCCTCCTTGGAACCTGAAGACGACTTCTGTGACATGCCAACAAAACTTCCTCGTTAGACAACAGTACCAACTGCAATCCATGCATGTAGATCACAGCTCTACAAAACAGGAATGTAAAGAAAATTCAACCCATTTTTGACACCTGTTTTTTGTACAAAGAAATCTACAGTCACATGTACATGTTTCTGTTCAAGTATACATGATCAAGTCTACCAATAAAGTCCATGTTTTGTTCCAAAGTATGACTTTCTCTTTTAAATTGGCCAAACAATCATAGAACATTTCTATTCACAAGCACTTGATGGTTGACTGAGGACATTCCTATGAAGCTACATTCATATAACAAGACATAAATACACAATGACAAGAAACATACTGGCTTGGTATCTTGAATACCAGTTTTGTTAGTCTCTATACCTGTTTTGACTTCTTAAGATTCCCTTTAGCTATTCATGCAGCACACGATAATATCTCAATAGGGTAGATAAACACGGACCTCATAACTAGAAGGAATACCAACAACACACTGCAGCTGCACAGGATAAATAAAGCATTCCTTACTTCCACCCCTTTACTGCACAGCGACAAAACACATACAGGACTCTACATACATGTAGATAACACGCTATCTGATGTCCCATTCCAACAACTCTTGGACTAAAAGGAAAAAGATAACAACAGGCCCTTGCTATGACAGAAGTCTCAGCAGATAATTACCTACCTCAACACAGTACTCAGACTTTGTGAGCTATGATTTGTTTAAACTGTTTCCTGCACCAAGCATTGTTTACATGTCTGGTTGATGATGGTTGAGAAGCAGCTTGACCAAAATGGTACCATATCGTAAACAGGATAACCATCTGGTTGGCCTGACCTGACCTGTCTACATGCATCTACAAATACCTTTTTCTCCTAGTAGAGCAAATAAGTGAAATGTGACTACACTTTTAGACTGTCATATTTTATCTGTCAGCACCGCATCATTAGTTATGCATGCATGTCCATGTAGGGAATGTGACAATAATGACTGCTAGTGTTTGTGTGGAGTTGTGCCATGACTGGAGATGGGTTGGTGGGATATTTGTGGCAGGCGGTCAGACTGCTGGCGACATTCCTGCACATTCTCTTCATTCTTATAATCATTGAGACTCCATCTGATGGCTGTTATCATCCCCGATCTCCTCAGGCATGGTCGGGCGGAGGAATGAGATCACACTACACTGCCAACATAGTTTTACACCACTCCTAAACATTCTGTGATGTAAAACTGACAAAAAGCTAGGGCTTCCTGCATGGGTCAAGATGCTTTCAACGGAAGGAATCTTCATAAAAAGACTTGTAATTACATCTTGGGAATGGGCAAAATAAGTTGACAGTCCTTTGGGTTTATGGGCATTTTCATACCAGCTGGTGCTTCTACTATTAACTGCTAATATGAGCTGTCACAAAAATGGACATATGATAGAAACATCTTATAGTGTAGCAATGCAATAATCAAGACTAGGAATAAATTTCACCAGCCTCTCTTGTACACCGCAGATCAGCTCACCTCTATTCTCTTGACCTCCTCCTGGTCAGAATCATTGGACGTGCTGTACCCGCTGGTGACACACTCCTCTGACCCCCGACCCACGTGCACCAGGCTCTCGTTGCTGAGCTCCTGGTCTGTCCCCACGCCGATGTCCACCAGCGACACCGGCCGCTTCCGGTGGCGTGGCGGCGGGACGGGCGCTTCCTCTACTTCTGGGCTGGAGCTACTTTGGTCAGGAGATGGAGGATCACAGTTTACAACATGTACAGGTGGTGAAGGTTCATGTACGATGACTGAAACCTCCTGTATAACTGGTCTGTGTGGGGATGTACTGTCAGGGGGAGTCTCGTGGTCTTGGGGTGATTCAGACACGGCAGAAGGCCTGTTAGTTGTTGGGGAGTCTTGCACGGGAGGTCTGGCCACATTTGCACTTTGCTGCTCGACTGGAGCAGCCCTGATGGAGTTCTGAGAAACATCCAACATGGCGTCTGCTCTCTGCAGGAGAGTTCCGTTTCCAGAGGGAAGAGAGTTCTGTGGGTAGGGAGGGGGCGGGATGGGGCCGTCCTCGGGAATGGGCAGCTCGCGAACAGACCCGATGTTGACCGCGGGGTGCATGACGTGCTCGTCCTTCAGACTGGAGGTGCTGCGGACGAGCGTCCTGCTGGCCTCCTGCAGGGCGTGCACCAGTGGAATGCTCTCCTCCTGGAATATCTGTGGCCGGGGGACCGGGACGATCCGCCGCGGCAGCAGGTCAGGACTGCTGTTACTCACCTGGAAGTACAACAACAGGAAGTGTCAGTGTATAACAGTAAACAAATATGATGGTGACAGGCTTCAGAAACGATCCAAGTGATATTAGAATAATATTTCTTTTCAATATAATATGTAAACATTTCTTGCCTGACATTTGATACCAAAAAGTGTAGCAAGGAAATAATAACGAAAAATAGAAATAAATTATCTAACATATATGTATATACTCCAGTACTGTGAAGTGGCTAGTTCATGCTTAAGTTATATGTTAGCATATATCTAGGAGCCCGGGTTCGATTTCTTTTTTGTCAGAATGCTTATCAGATAGCAGTGATTCTTGAACTTTCCTTGATGTCCTTTGAGTTGAAGCTGGGTAATCATAGAATCAAGTTTGAGAGGCCTAAGAAGATGCAGACCACTATACCTGAGGATGCTTGTAACGCTGCATGGCCAGGTCAGGTGTGCTGGTATGGTGTCGTGGGTACGGGGGCGGGGGTTTGTAATGGTGGAGAAGGGCCTCTGAACTCACAGTTATCTGTGCCATGTTTGTATATGGCTTGGCCAGTTCTGGGGTGCTGACGGTGTGGGAGAATGATGCAGAGTGGAGAGGGAAGGTCTCTGTGGCAGTGTTTGTATGGCTTGGGCTGTAAACTGCAGGGGACTGCACAAATGTGCACTCCTGGGGGAAGGAGACGATCCGCTGGGAATACAGATCATGTTTGATCATGTCGGGCTGGCTGTATACCATCGTCTCTGGGTTATTGTACACTCCAGACAGGCCCAGGTTGACGAGAGACTGGCTCTGCCCACTGTCCATCACACTCCGTAATCTGTTATTCCGCACGGCAGTTTCATAGTCCGGCGTGGGTCGGTACGCGGGCAGCTGGGGACGCAGGTCCACCCGGGAGACGTCCGTGTTGCTGTTGATGCTGGGGTTGGACGAGGCGGGGGAGGCGCGGTGGATGTTGACCTGTGAGTGGTTGAGAGAGTTGGCGGAGTTGTAGACGCTCCCGTTCATGGGCACACTGCCGTTCATGTAGCTGTGCATGCCGGGCGTGTGGGAGCGCAGACGGTCCACACTGGTGGTGCTGTTGGACAGCAGGTAGTCACTGCTGTTGGACAGGACGTACTCTGTGCTGCTGGACAGCACGTTGTCCATGCTGCTGGACAGCACGTTGTCCATGCTGTTGGATAGCACATTGTCCATGCTGCCGGATAGGCCGTAATCAATGCTGACTTGGGGGGAGGAGTTGTATGACACATCGCCAGGCGATGCTTCAGCTTCTTCTGCTGCATTTTGTTCATCCTCCTCATGGACAGGGGACATGCCGGCCGCATCTCTCTGTAGGAGAACAGAGCAAGATATCAGATCATCTGTCTATGATATGCATAACACAAATTATGACCTGTCTACATGCTGACAAAAATGTGAAAACATAACCATCCTGCTCCAAGGTTCACAAACATCCTGACTAGGAATGCCAGGGGAAGGGGAGAGTGCGTAGATGACTACTGACCTTGGTGATGGTGGGGGTCCTCTTCAGTGGGCTGGCTACACTCACCAGGGGAGAACTGTGAGAAATGAATGGAACAAAACAACATGACAAGGTCACAACAAGGTCAGGTAAAATGTCCCTACAGACTATGGGCTGATTGACAAGAAACATACATGTGCCGGTAAGGTTATAGGGAAGACCTCCTTCATGGGAACATTCATATCTGTTCTTTTTCACCCCTTATACCATTGCCAGCTTGTCAGACAGCCTAGACACTAACATTCAACTAACTGGACTTGAACCATGTTAGGGAGCTTAATATATTTAAGGTACTGTATGAAATGTACTTGGGAACTCCATTGAAACTCTATTATACATGCAACTTGCTAGTGTAGTGTGCATAATGAGTGTACAGGAAAGGAAAAGAAATAGTTCTTACAGCTTCAGATTGGTTCGGTGGCCGTCCAGCGACACTTCGTTCCATACTGTTTTGCTGCAAAAAATGTTGTGATTCATTCGTTTATTAACCTATAATATAGAGACAAACCACAAACATCCCACACAAACAACTAAATGCTAATCTCTTATTCCTCCTGGGTATAATAACCTTAACAATAACTTTTTCCTGGACACAAGTGTAAAAGTACATGATTTCTCAATGTGCCATGCTATTGGGATAAAAATTGAAGGCATGAAGCATGCACTTACTAGTAAATGCCATATTACCCCTTTCATGGAGAGTTTGACTACTGGTAACAGTACTGACAGTAACATTGTACAGTAACTACACCATTCCAGCAGTTTATCCACAGGACTGGAGAAAAGCTCACCTGACAGATGCCCTGTTGATGCGGTAGAACTTGTGCTTCAGCACACACATCCTCCACACGTATTTGGTCATTTCTGCATCCTCCTGGAAAAGTAGACAGTTTCCAGTTACCACACCAACACCTCCACGAGTTGGACATACATATTAAGTGATAACGGTCAAATACATGATTGTTACTCTTACAATCATGTATTAAAATGAGCATATGTTTACAGCAAGTACCAGGAAAAATAGCTGAGATCCCCTTTACTTTGCATATCATAAAACAAATGAAAACAGAAAGATACTAAAAGACAGTCTGGTTTGTACCCACCATGACAAACTGAACAATCTCCCCTGTCTTGGCACTCTCCACGCCAAACAGCCGTTTGTTATGGACAATGTTAGATACATCATGCCATCTGCAACACAAACATACACAATCACCTCATATCAGCATGAATCCTCATCTGATTTGGTACAGTACAGTCCAATATAAAATCATTACCATTTAAATTTGTAGACCAACAAATCAACAACAATTTACTCCTTGACTGGACTTACTTGAAGTAGACAGTAGGCAGTCCACTCAGATGCTTCACAAAAATACCAACAAACGAGGCCCCAACTTCCAGGTTGTTTCCTGCTTCATCCTAACAAACAACATAAGGGAAAATCAGAAATGGACTCAGTCCAACTAAGTTGGAGGACTAAGTTTCACAAGTAATACATGCATTGTCCTGAAATTAGAGGTATAATGGCGGGAGACATAGGGTTTTAGAATCAAAAATACAACAAATTGCAACTTTGATTCTTCTATGATAAAACTACTAATATGACAGACCTTGGCAGGGTAAGCCTCTTGTCCGTACCCATCCAGCTGCTGGGCCTCCAGGATGTAGGCAAGTTCTGCCTGGGCAGGAGCCATCCCACTGTACAACAGGGACAGAAAACATACTTTATAAGCAGTTTATAAAATGCTGAGTTACAATGTACACTCATGTAAGCTTCATGGACTTTTGCTACAGAACCCAACTACATTGTACTCCAACTAAGTACTTAAGTCTGTTAGTAAAAAGGTGATTCTCCAACAACAGCAAGTTACTTCTTGAGACTTTCATAAGGGTATATCTGTAATAACTATGGTGTTTCTTACCGGTGCCTCTGGTGGGCATTGATAACTTCCCGGACATGGTCAGCTAAGGCTGTGTCATCTTGGCTCTGTGCCTGGATGGAGAATACAGCAACATGGTAAATAACACAACAATGTTACATCTATAACAACATGCTGGACAAAAGGTCTCACACAAATACAAAAAAAGTTTAACATTGAGAATTGTGAATCTGAACTTACTGGAGGGAAGAGAATGAAGTCTTTGAAGAAATCCACGGTGTGCTTCTCACTGTCATGGTCTCCAAACTCAGCTGTAAGAAAAACACAGGGGTTGCTAACTCACCAACTGGACAGGAAGTACAAACAAAGCATATCACTCTGGGACATAAATACCAAGAAAGAAATATCCACTTCTCACAGAGAATGGAGTGCAGCACAGAAGGTAGGACTAACCTTGTATGGCATAGCTGGCCAGCAGCATTGCCTGCTCAGGTGTACATGGAAGTCTTCCTTCAATAACATCACTCTTCAGCTGCAGGTAAAACAGGTATCTGCAACATGGAAATAACGTTATTCACAAAGCTTCTCTATATGACATTCCATGCTAAAAAAATCACATGGAACACATGTAATGCAATATCATATACCAGTTCAGAACACATTTTGTGCTATGTAGTGCAATACCATGTTGGAAAGATAGAGGGCATTACATGTTAGCAGTTCCTGTGTGTTGACCACTGTATGTTTACATAACTACATTGTATACTTGAACCTGTTCACTACATTACATCTAACACTTTGCAGGGGAAAAGGGAAGCCAAATCATGGATTCAAAATTTACAAAAACATTTCCAAACTCTGCTCTTAGCAGCAACAGCATATTTGACATTTACCTAGCAGCATATTTGACTTGGAAAACAAATCCAAACTTAGCCATTAAGATAGAAAGTATGTTTGGATTTCAAACGGTAATCACAGTAACCTTAGTCATCAGTTAACAATGATATAATTGCCTGAGAAAGGTTGTTTTGCATTTTCATGGTATATCTTGAACTTCAACCAGTTCCACCATATCAGGTCTAGTATTCAAAGAGTTGAAAGGACAGAAGTTTGGATAATTATATAGCACATGGAAATGAAATGTTTCATCACAACTACAGGTGCAATTTTGTTCCATCCACAAGGAATGTCAGAATTTCATATTTTTCTTTCTTCTTGTGAATCTCTACTTGACTATTTTCTTCCCTTTCTGCATTTCTGTACCTGTATCTGTATCAGTATAGCCGGTATAACCGCCCTTCGGCGTAACACTTCCAAAGGATACCAACATTTACAAAACCATTTGCTTGAGCTATATTACAAATGCATGCCCTCCAAAAGAGGTACAGTAAATTAAAAGGTCAGCCAATTTTAAATGGAATCCATCCAAGTCCAAATCTGCAACTTCTATGTAAAGGTGCCTGAGGGACAAGCCTGGACATTCCTGAGGAATGAGGAGACTGTGCCATGCTGTTTGTGTTGTGGGTGGGACCAGCAGGCTGAGCAAAGTACAGACTACAGCAGTAATGGAACAGGTGGTGGCAGGACACTGCTGCCAGCTAAACTGTCTGTCAAGAAAGTTCCCTTTATCTAACCATGATGACATCCAGGCTAGCAGTCTTTCCTTTCCATACTTTCCACCATTGATCATCAGAACACTGGAGAATCAAACAGCTTACAGAGAGTGATGTGACTACAATACAAAATGGTCCTACCCTACAACTCAAAGTGACAGTTTATTCACATATTGCAACGCTGGAGTTTGACAATTCATAAAGATAGGTTAGAGCAAATTTGTGGACAGCAGTTAGAACATAACTGATACCAACAGACAAGGTTCTCTTGTCTGTGTAATTAGGCAAAACATGTATACAGATCATCCAATGATCCATCTATGTTACCTTATCTTGCTTTATATGAGATCATATAAGGCATCATCAGTCATCAGCAGATATACATGCAATCTGCCATTATAATTCATTTTTCCATAGAGACTTGTGGTGAGAAGCACAGCTGGAATTTAGCTAGTATAGGAAACACCAGACAACAAACTTATTAGCATACAAGCAAGTGTCATAGAACATGTGGCAATCTCATTATCATTGGGAGTAAAAGTAATTATCAGCCCTGTGGTTTGAAAAAGCCAACTGTGTGGCTCCATCATGATTAGGAGGCACCAGAAGCTATCGACCACATCTAGATAAACCAAGCAAAACAGTTAAATAAACAATATATCTTGTTTGGCATTTAACAATTTGAGCAAAATATATTTCACATGCAAATATACAACAAGATTTTTTGGGCTTTATCACTTTCTGACCAATCTACTAGTGTTGCACGTGTGATCATAGGTTTTTCATAAACAGGTGATCATATGGTAAAGGTTTGAAAAGCTTTTAGGCAGAATGTGCTATATGACTCCAGTCCAACAGAGCTGCATGCAGACCCTCTCAAGTATGTGGTTGGCACTCTTGTCAACAGGACATCAGGGGAGACTGGCTTAGGTTTACACAAATAACCAGTGTTCTTGGGTGCAATGGCCCAAAATAAACTTTTGGAGTGGATACAGAAGTCATCTGTTGCCATTCTTGTCTTGGCTATCTTTCATTTCTATAGCTATAATCAATCTATTACCCTAAATTTGTGCACCAATGTTAAACTAAACATGTCATTCCAGTTCAAAAGTAATTATCATTTCATGTATATACTGTATGATGTTTGCAGTGGGATTGAGGGAAAAGAAGCTAGTTTGCTGAAATTTTGATCACAAATGACTGTTTCCCATTCTAGACTTAGACTAGAGTCTAGACAGGTCAGTGATAAGGGATTTCATCATTTACCTAATCCTGACAGTGGGATTTGCGCTGCAGTGAAAGTTTTGCTGTAGGATCAACCCTTTTCACAGCCTTGGTGATCTGGACTGGCAGCTGGCTCAGTGCCTAAGCACAGGAATGGCAGGCATGCAGGAAAATCAGCCTCAAGCTGAGAGGAGACCAGGGGCCAAACAGTGTCAGATAACAGCTCAGAACACTGGCCCTCTGTGGTATGTGGAGACATGGAATATTATTTGGCCTTTCATAAATACATGGGTATGAAGAGTAATGACTATGTTGTTACACCAAATATGTCAGTACACAATAAAGCTTACAGGGATTGGAGTCATAAATTACTCGATATGAACAATTCTTGATCCTAAGTCTTGCAACACTCCAGGGTGGGAGGGCAGTGCAGGATGGGCTGTGTAGGGTTACTAGCTGGCTGTAACCTTTGGGTCTTTGGGTTGTAAAATTGTCAATCTATGACCCACTAATCCTAAATCACTTGATCTTCATGTAACTACAGAAGGTGGTGCACGGAAAATGCCCTAGGCTGCAGGTATTCTGCAGACAAGATACATTTGAGACAAATCATCTCATTCTCATTCACTTTGAGATGTAAGAGGGTCTGCATGGGGGGGTCCTGGCAACGGTTAACGGTAAATTCAGCAGGGCCGATAACGCTTAACGGTAAATTCAGGACGGTCGGCAACGCTTAACGGTAAATTGATAGGCCTTTTTTTCGAGCTACACTGGATTTGGTATCTCGCTTTGTGAGAAAAGGTGATCACTGACAAAATTACGTATACCTTTACATGTAATGAAATTAAGCACGCATTAAAGGTATGTGTTCCCTCTGTTTAATTTTCCGCCTGCCCTGGTCCCCGAGTGCGTCCACAAATAAAGGGGAGTCCGAGTCGACGTCGGCCAGGGCTCTACCCAGCTTGACTTTTTCCGTCCGCCCAGTTTTATTCGATGGATTTTGAGGGGGGAGCGCCGAAGGCGCTCGCAATCTGAGGGGGTCCGGAAAATTTAGGATTTTTAAGCCTTCAAAAACGCAATTTCCCGCATGTTCAGAGGCAAATCATGATGTTGAGAGTGTTTGTCGGTCCTTCTGATGTTTTCATAATTTTACTGACGGATTCCTGTAACTTTCCGCAAACTTCCGGTAATTGAAGGGAAAACTGGTGCTAGCTAGAGCCGAAGGGAACGAGCGCAGAAGCGCGAGTCGAGCGCCAAAGGCGCGAGCAATGTAGGGGGGTCCGGCAATTTTGTATTTTTAAACCTTCAATGACGCATTTTCCTGTACTTTGAAAGGCAAAATTAGGCGTAACGAAGAATTATTCATTAACACTTAACGCTGAAGTTAGGATGACAAATAACGTTTTACGTTGAATTAAAAGGACCAATATCGCTTCACGATGAATATACTGATAACGCTTAACGTTGAATTAGAGCGGGCCGGCAACGATTAACAGTAAATTAAAATAGCCCATAACGGTTAACGAAAAAGGGCATGCAGGCCCTCATGTAATTTTAGGGACTACCCAGTTGTCCAAAATGAAAGGAATAAATAAAGTAATCTCTGAAAGATGTCCACAGATTAAATGGTATATCCCTATTGGAGCTCACTTTGTTATGACAGGGAGTAGAACAGGTATGATATTGTAAAGAAGATGCCACAAAATGTTTTGGTCTGCTGCATGACCAAAATGGTCAAGATAAAAATTTTGGGAATGTTTTTTGACAGCCAAGACCTGAAGCAACAGGTGCTAGAACAATTGGTACATGTGTGAGAACTGTTCAAGGTGGACAGAATTTGGCATTACTGTCAGGTCAGGTCATACTTGGTGACTTGGCAATCAACTTGCTTCTGGAGGTCAAAGGTCATGAAACATCCATGCATGTTACTTACTGGTACCATCAGTGGTGGCCAGTGAGTATCAGATAAAAGTTTATCAAACATTCTTGGAATGGCAGCTTGTCACTAACATGATGATATGGCAATACTGAGGTATTTTTTTACAGAATAAGTCAATAACTTTAACGAGGGATGGACCACTTCACAAACAATCCCATGACATCCCCCTTACATAGCCATAAACTCCTTATCACAACCCCAGGGTAGCGTGGGCTCAATTTAGTCTACAGTACAGCTTGTATAAACAGGCCACTTCTCTACTATGTGGACTTACCACATACTGCAGCCAAAAACAACACAGAGTACAACTACTGTACCAGCATTTCACCCTGCAACCTTGCAATCGTTATCACTGAAAGGGCTATTAACAGCAGGAATAAAAAACAACCTTATGAATCTGCCATCTACAAGTCCATTTAGGGGTAATGGATGAAACTTCTTATTCATGTTAAGCTGAAGAATTAAACCAAGAGTATGTACCATGTAAAGTGACATTAAAACATAGTCCCTTATTATCCATCTTTACTGATTATACCTACCACTAGGAAGACTTCTATCAGTCTGATTCAACATAACACATGTGTATCCTTGAAAGATAATGGAGACTTCCTTGACAAGATACAGAACAGGTGCATTTGACAGTGACTATCTGGAATGTCTGATTAATGACTACCGACCAAGGCCATCTACATGACTGTCTGACTCCAGGGGTGAACGACCCTTACCTTGACACTTGACCCCACAATGGCTGAGATGCACTTGGTATGTTTTCACATGTTTAATAGTTACAGGTCTGCAGATTTAGGTACAAAGGCCATGTAATTAAATAATTTTTGAATACCAATAATAAATAATAAATTTTTGAAGAGAACAAGAAATAGCCACGCATTCAAGTACCAGAGTTATCAACCAAGGATTGAGGTGTTCAAGAATTCATTCTTTCCTAGAACTATCGCAGAGTGGAACTCACTGTCACCAAGTACAGTAGGGGCACTGTCAATAGATAGCTTTAAACAATGTCTAGAGCTAGAAGTTCAAGGGTTAGGTGTAACAAGTCGATCGGTGTAATATAGCCAGCTGCCGCCGCGCCGCGTGCCTGCGAAGCTGGTGTGTTACGCCGAAAGGCGGTTATACCGGCTATACAGATACAGATACAGATAATAACAGCTCCTTTATGTCAAATCATGCTATATGAGGTAAAACAAACCATACCAATGTTTGGGCCAAACTCCAAGGAGGATTATGATACTATCCCATCATCCTTTGCAATACACATTCCACAACACGTGTCCCAGATGGCTGACTGTCAGCACCAGGCATATAGTCTTGTCATGTTTCCTTTAAAAGTGCAGCAATGGCAACAATTTGACCAGTAATTTTTGGTTCTTTGAATTATCAAAGGACTCAAGTAGTGTATGAGACTTTCTGACTTTTGTAACTTATGTACAACTTCTTACATTGTGTCATAAACATTTATGCAAACATTTGCTTCAAAAATGGTGCTCAAACTTCACCAAACTAAAGTGCTTTTCTACAAACTCTATTGATTGGTGATATTATACATCTTGTGCATCAGAAAACCCCAAATGCACCAAAAAGCACCCATGGAAAACAGAAGAAAATATTATATTTGATATGATTTATGCAATAATCATCAACAAATGCAATTTTCTTCTGTTTTCCATGGGTGCTTTTTGGTGCATTTGGGGTTTTCTGATGCACAAGATGTATAATATCACCAATCAACAGAGTTTGTAGAAAAGCACTTTAGTTTGGTGAAGTTTAAGCACCATTTTTGAAGCAAATGTTTGCATAAATGTTTATGACACAATGTAAGAAGTTGTACATAAGTTACAAAAGTCAGATAGCCTCATACACTACTTGAGTCCTTTGATAATTCAAAGAACCAAAAATTACTGGTCAAATTGTTGCCATTGCTGCACTTTTAAAGGAAACATGACAAGACTATATGCCTGGTGCTGACAGTCAGCCATCTGGGACACGTGTTGTGGAATGTGTATTGCAAAGGATGATGGGATAGTATCATAATCCTCCTTGCTCTCTACCTGAACAATACAAATGTCCCAAACACATGACATGACATTACGAACACAACCATCTTACCTGGTGATTTCCTGGTTGAGTTTCTGCACGTTAGACACATAGAACATCACAGCAAAGTACACCAGTGGTTCGTGTGCCAGCTTGTCCAGCTGCTTCTTCAGAGGCTTCTCCAGCTCCACCCACTGCAGCTGCAGCCGCTTGCTCACATACCGCAGCCCAAAATAACACACCTGCAACAGGCGAAATTTTCTTTCTTTAGGCTAACAGAAAGATAGAATACGTTCATGTACATGTCCATAGTTATAGCATTTTCGAAGTATACAGTACTACTTGGAGATGAATGTTTCATTCATGGACTGGGCTAGACATTCAATTTTCTTCTTACATTTGACTTTTCTTATGGTTATGCATTAGTCATTATAGTCATTATTATGCATTAGTGTTATAATTTAGATGAAGAACAATATAATTGCTCATGACTGGACTACTAGTGCTAATTTAAAACAAAACTAAGTCTTGATTATTTCTATATAGTAAGAGTAATATAAACTAGACAAAGAACTCCTAAGTTTAGCCCTTTCTCCAAATAGAGTGGTGACAAGGTTCCCTGGCTTGTACATAAGTATTCTATAGAGAACCCAGCAACACAATTGGATAACAACTAAACAATACAAAACTTAGAATCTAGAGGAAGGCTAAAGGATACAAACAGGATCAGCCTTCCATTGTGAGTTGAGCCAGACTGACTTTGGAAGAATAAGTGCTACAGCTGTGAGGATAAGCTTCAAATTCAATCATAAAGAAGGCAGCCAACTTGTGGCAAGCTACATGTAGGAGTGCCTGTAACAGCTGGAATAGACAAACATTAATCTAGTGAAGATTTAGGATTATAATACTGTGTGTTCTGAGTCTTCTGACTCAACCTCTATCTGACTTAACATAAAAATACAGTGGTAACATCTGGTAGGTTGTACAGCATTCAGCAAAACAAACTGCCAATCTTCCAACAGACTGCTTACATGCTGGGGTCAATGCCTGAACAGAGTACTCCACAGTTACAGAGTTTTATACATTTGTATATGAAAGAAAACTTTTAAGTCAACTTTTTGAAAAGTCCAAAGTCCTGCAAAACTATTGATATAATACTATTAATAGAAGGCTGGGAGGTTTACTTTTGTTGTCAATGTGGGTGTGTAAAAATGAAAATTCAAAAATACATGTACATAAAAAAAAACTATTGTCTTAAATTGTCACCAGTCCACTAGATAATTTGTCACTGTATGAAAACATGTAGATACTAGAATTCCGAGATCTCATACCTCCATGAAATATGATCTTGATATGTAAATGTTAATTTCTTCTTTAATTGTGCAAATGACCTCTGCATTAACATGATATATGCATCGTGATGTATGTTAACTTTTGATTAACTTACAGATGTCCCAAGTATGACATTCTCATCATTCACCATTACGAAATCATAGAATTTTTGCATTAATTATGCAAATTAGGTCATCATTTGCATAATTAGTATCTGTTGAAGTTCCACCTGCCATAGGTTACATACATTACATGTATGTAAGTAGTATAATGTAAAACACTGTAATTATAGAATTTCCTCATTAATTATGCAAATTAAGTCCTCATTTGCATAATTTGCATTTAATTATGTACATCTCTCTCTCAGCTACCTACACACCAAAAATAATGAAAATATGTTGTTCCTGTCTGGACTTATTGGCTTTTAAACATTTCGCCAGAAAGTGCCCTGCAGTTCCAGAACAAGCCGCTAGGGGGCCCAAACTCATATGACTTCTTCCCAAGCACGAGAGCTACCTTCCATCAAAATTTCATGACCCTAGCATGTCCAGATTGCGAGATATCAAAACCGGAAGTTGCGCTGCAGTACCAAGGGAAGCCACTAGGGGGACCAAAATCTAATCATTTCCAGTTTTCGTCACACCCTACCAACACACCAAGTATGAAACCAATCCATCCAGGCGTTCTTGAGTTATCTTGTTGACCAACAGACGGACGGACAGACGGACGGACGGACAGATAAACGCAACTGAAAATATAACCTCCATGACACATTTCATGGAGGTAACAAGTTGCTTCCCCTCCAAAATGCAGCTAACCAGCAGATTGGATGAAGTGTGAGAATGAAGTACCTTTCTGCTTTCCAGGAATCCTGTTGGTAGTTATAATGCCTGGCTTGTACATCTACATGCAGATCCCCTTTTAAGTAGAGAACTGTCAGAGTGACAGATATGCAGTTGTCACTAGCTAATTAAGAACCTATTATTACTGTGGAATGCTATCACCAACATGCATGATAAACCTTCACACTTTCTGGACAATTCAAATGACATTTTATCAGAGAAGAAAAACAGCAGCAGCTCTTAATTGGTTAATGACTGGGAGACAAGTTAATCAAAATACCATCTTCAAATCTAATATAATTATTTAAGTCACACTGTAACATCTAAAATCTCAGACAAAGAACTTTTACAGGAATCAGCTACCAATCCAACCTGGGG